GCAAAGACAGGCCCGGGAAAAGTTCCTTCTCAGAGAGAGAATGTTCTCCACTTCATGGGAGTGGAGAAACCTCTGAAGCAAGGGCCAAGTCAGAGGCTGCCCTCCTCAGCAGTGTCTGGAGTCCCCCTTCAGCAGGGAGGGGCAGAGTCCTGGAAGAACTTAGGTTTGCCCACAGCTATCCATTTCAATCCCCTCGCTCCCCGGGGTTTACCCACAGACGCCTCAGGACACTGACCGGAGCCAACCCCGACCTAAAGCCATGCCATCGGTTTCAAAAATCAGCTTAGTCCTTGGGCTAGCTTCCAGCAGCTTTCTCAAGCCTTCTTGGCTTACAGAGTCTATACAGATGCCTCCCAGCCCATAATAGCCCCAGGACCAAGGATTGACCTTGCTCCCACTTCACAGTATCCAGGTCGAACTTCAGAGGAGTAAAGTGAATTAATCACAGAAGGTAGTTAGGGACAAAGAAGTCACCCTACTGTAGATTCTCCTTCCGTTTAGTGACCCATAATGGTGGTCATCATTATCCTCTGAACATCTGTTTGGTGTGTGCACATGTGCGTGCAGCTGCTGGAGAACAAGTGTGAGCGTGTGAAGGTCCGAGAGCAGCAGCCTTAAGCATCCTTCCTCAGGCCTCGTCTACTTGTGGTGTTGTTGTTGTTGTTGTTGTTGTTGTTGTTGTTGTTGTTTTGAGACAGGCTCTCTCACTAACCTAGAACTCACCAAGGAGGCTAGTGTCCTAGCTGGGTCACGACTGCTGTGATGAAACACCGTGACCAAAGCAACTGAGCAGGAAAGGGTTCACACTTCCTTTTCCCTGTTTATCACTGAAGGAAGTCAGGACAGGAACCCAAAACGGCAGGATCCCAGAGGCAGGAGCGGATGCAGAGGCCATGGAGGGGTGCTGCTGACTGGCTGGCTCCCCCTGGCTTGCTCAGCCTGCTTCTTATAGAACCCAGGACCACCAAGCCCAGAGGTGGCACCACCCACCATGGGCTGGGCCCTCCCCCATCAATCACTAACTAAGAAAATGCCCTACAGTCTAGCCTGCAGCCCAATCTTAAGGAGGTCTTTTCTCAGTTGAGGCTAGTCATCTCCAATGACTCTAGCTTGTGTCAAAAAACTCGCCAGTATACTATGCTTAGGGCCAGGAGTGCCAGAAAGCCACCTAAATATGTCTACCTGGTGCTGGGATTGCAGATGTGACACTAAGGCCCAGCTCCTCATCATCATCATCATTATTATTATTATTATTATTATTTGGTTTTGGTTTTTTGAGACAGGGTTTCTCTGTGTAGCCCTGGCTCTCCTGGAACTTACTCTGTAGTGCAGGCTAGCCTTAAACTCACAGAGATCACCTGCCTCTGCCTCCCAAGTGCTGGGATTAAAGGCGTGTGCCACCACTGCCTATTTTTATTTATTTATTTTTTAAATAACGTGGTTTTACTTTATGTGCACCGGTGTCTGTGTGAGGGTGTCAGGTCCCCTGGAGCAGGAGTTACAGACAGTTGTGCATCACCATGTGGTTGCTGGGAATTGAACCCAGGTCCTCTGGAAGAGCAGCTAGTGCTTTTAACCCTGAGCCATCTCTCCAGCCCTTTCCCTGCTTTTTTTAACATGTGGGTTCTGGGTGTTGAGCTTGCAAGTCCTCAAGCTTGCAAGGTGAACAATTTGCCGACCAAGTCACCTTCCCAGTCCCCCCGCCCCTCACTATCACTCCCCCACATCCCCACACCCCCACTTTGAGCATCTCCTGCATGCATTTAGTTAGGCACTTCACTCTCATCGGTTCCTTTTTTCTTCAGAACAAGCCCAGAAATAGGCAAGGGCATTCCTTTCACCTCTCTAGACTAGACAGTAATAGTAAGAGATCAGATTGGATGCCACATCCAGTGCGAAGCCCTTCCATGGGTGTTAACGCACTCTCCAAGGGGCAGTAAATGGGAATCCCATCTCTGTTTCAGAGCCATGGGGACTGAGTCTCAAAGACATTGGGTTAATTGTCTGAGCTCACCTCCATGAAATGGCAGAAGGGGATTTGAACACCCCAGGCAGTGCAGGCCGCTTAACTAACTGAAAACCCAAATCCTCCTCCCTGCCACCCCTCCAAGTGAAGCCACAGGGACCCTCCAGGTCCCGTGTGCTCTCCTCTTCTCTACCTAAGAGGTAACCAACTCCGCTGAGTACTGATCCCAAGAATCAAAGCTCACAGAGGCAGACTGCTGCACCAGCAGCATCCGCTGCATCACCCTGGCAAGACCAGAATCCAGCCTAACCGGAATCCTTGGCCAGACATGCTCCCTCCGTCTGCTACTGGCTGGTTGGACCAGGTAGTCAACCTTCTTGTCTGGGTCCCCAGGGAAGTGCTTGGCTAGGAAGTGGAGGAGGAGATTCATGAGACAAGAGAAAGTCCTCTGTTGAGCTGTCTACCTCCCAGGAAGGGAAATGATGAACTGTATGGGGGTGGGGGAGAAAGGTACTGGGGCTATGTTCTGGAGTTGTGGGGAAGGGGTAACCTAGCAACCACTGGGCTCAGCAGTCACAAAGGTTTGCCCACAGTTCCGACAAGCCTTACCCTTGATTAGTCTTCTTCTCCATCCTGGTCAGGCACCAGGGGCTTCTGCTCATATGCTGTAGTGGACATCTTCCTGGTAAGTCCTCTGGAGGGCAGGAAATGAAATAGACTCTGGCTCCAGGTGACGACAAAGGAATGGGGGGTAAGAGGGCATCCTGGGTTTGGTGGTTCTCTTCAGATCTCTTGTACTTGACTCTCAAGGAGCCCATGGTCAGAGGCAGGAGAGGGTAGGGACAGTGACAGTACAGTGACCTCACCTGTCTCTCCTGCTAGGTCCCTACTGACCCCTCTAGTGTGGGGTGGTGATTCATAAGCTCATTGGAGCTGTTAATGGGTCATGTCTAACACTCATAAAGCAAAGACAAACAAAAAAAAAACACCCACAAGACGCAAGTATCCGTGTACATCACATGTGTAGATACTACTTCAGAGTATTCTTATGTCCATTGTGCGAGCGCGCAGCACAGTGCACACGCGCACACACACACACACACACACACACACACACACACACACACACACATTAACACATACTTGAATTGAGACCAGAGGGGGGAAAATGGATTTCTTGCTGTTGTGATGGTCAAAATCACTGGAGAGTTTCCACTCTAAAGAGCACCTTTTCCCCGTAGGCAGGTGAAGAGGGACTTCCAGATGCCCTGTCTTCAAGCATGAAGCATCTAAGCACTAGGAGAACCCAGCCCTTGCCATCGATGATACCTGCCTGAAGCTTCTGAAGAGGGAGCCCTGCTCACTGTTTTTAGACAAAAGGTCAGGAGCCCATAGGTCAGATGCCAGATGCTGGTCCTTGCCTGTGCAGCCTCAAATGAGGCAAACCCATCATATACTAAACCAGATGGAGGTGGTACTGAGGCCTCACAGAGAACCTTACAGATTTGTGATCCCGAGGGTCTTCCTCAGAATGCACTCCACTCTGTCCCTTACACTTGCATCGGGTCTATAGATTGAATCACAATTTTTTTTTTTTTTGGTTTGTTTGTTTGTTTTTTTTTTCGAGACAGGGTTTCTCTGTGTAGCTTTGGCGCCTGTCCTGGAACTCACTTTGTAGCCCAGGCTGGCCTCAAACTCACAGAGATCCACCTGCCTCTGCCTCCCGAGTGCTGGGATTAAAGGCGTTCAGCACCACCGCCCCGCGTAATCACAATTCTTGGTTTTGACATCGGTCACCTCTCATCATTTCCTTAATTGGCTTACTTACTAGTGCACTGAACTGTAGTAAATGTACCACCCACACATCTCCTGTGTACCCCACTCCTTGTCCTACTCAAAAGGGCCACTAGGGAATTTCCTTAGTTGTTTTATTGTCTGGCCTCATGTTTGTGGCAATTCTGTTTGCCCGAAAAATGGTATGTACAGGTGTGCGTGTGCGTGTGCGTGTGCGTGTGTGTGTGTGTAGAAGCCATTAGCAGCCTCCTCCACTTGTAGGCGTTGGTTGGTTTCTTCTTCCATCGCGTGGGTTGCAGGGATTAAACTCAGGCTTGGTGACACTTGCCTCAACCTGTTGGGCCATCTCGCTGGCCCGGTGAACTTTGACTTTTCAAAAGTATTTCCAAGCTGGCGTGGTGTGTGTGTGTGTGTGTGTGTGTGTGTGTGTGTGTGTGTGTGTGTGTGTATGTGTGTGTGGGACGCCTTTCATTCCAGCACTCTGGAGTCAGAGGCAGATGGATCAAACTCGCTCTCTGTGAGTTTGAGGCCAAGGCTGGCCTGGTCTACATGTCGAGTTCTAGGCCAACTAGGGCTACAGTAGTGAGACCCTGTATCAGTGCTTCTCAACCTTCCTAATGCTGCAGCCTTTAATACAGACCCTCATGATGTGGTGACCCCCCCCCAACCATAAAATTATTTTGTTGCTACTTCAGAACTGTAATTTTGCTACTATTATAAATCGTATGTAGATATCTGATATGCAACCCCTGCGAAAGGGCCCTTTGACCCCCAAAGGGGTTGTGACCCACAGGTTGGAACCATTGCCCTATATCGTTTTTCTAAACCATGTTAAGCACTATGTTTAAGATTTATCCGTGCTATGTCACCAGGGTTCATTGCTTCTCACAGCAATCTAAAAGCTCCATGGTCTGAATGTAGCCCAGGCTTACTCATGTTTCCAGATATATGTGATGTCATTGGGGTTTTTTTTTTGTCCGTTGTCCCCGCCCCCCCCCCCCCCCCCCGTGCCCCCGCTGCTTTGGACCCTCTGAATAGCACTGCTCTCACAGACAAACCATGCTGCACAGCTGTAGGAGCTTTTCTTACGTCTGGGAGAGAAACTACTGGGTTTTACCATATGCTGTCGCCTCCTCCCCCTCAGATTGCCTGTTCCAGTTTATGCACCCACCACCAGGCCACCAGAGCTGTGCCATCCACCGAGGACACTGGCATTAGGATTCGAGCCTTTATATCTCTCATTGCAACCCCTGTGATGAACACGGAGGTGAAAACCCAGTTGGCTGAGCATCTACTAGAGAGGTGAGGCCTGAATGCCCACGGGGCCAGAAAGGTGTGGGGGAGGGGCGCCCAAAGGGAGATGAGGCAGGATAGAAGACAAAGGTAGCTTGGAGGAACTTGGTAAACTGGGGTCCAAGTTCCAGGAAAGCCCCCCCCCCCCCCCCCCCCCCCCCCGCACCTTGGAATGCCATGCACAGGACTCTGAAATGCGTGCTAGGAGGCGGACTGCTGGAAGCACAGGTGCTCAGAGTTTCCAGTGACTTCCTGATTTGGGGGTCGAGGAGTCTTCTAACTACCATTTCAGAGAAGTTTGCTTTATTTCCTTAAATCCCAGATGGCCTAGAGCTGAAAGGAGACTGGAACAGGATACTCAGGGGGCCTCGCAGCAACATCCTCCCAGGAATCAGGGGAGGCATGCCTTGCTTAGTGTATTCCCAGCCCACCTCCACTGGACCAAGGGACCTCCCTGCAGCCAGGGCCATCAGGAGAGGGAAGTGCAGAAAGCCACCAGGCAGGTGGTGCAGCAGGCCCTCCTGGGATTTCTTTGGATCTAGGCTGACCTCCTCCTCTCCTTCAGGGACAGGACATCCTCTGATCCTGGAGGTGGGGAGGGGTGCTGGGAACCTGAGACAGCTGGTCTCCAGCCTAGGCCAACAAGACAGGAGCTGGACGCTTCCCTCTCTGCGTCTGTGGTATCAGCTCCGCGTCTTCTGGGAGGGACCACATGGTGACAGGACTCGCTGGGACTGCCCTGGCCTTGGCTCTAGTTCTGACCCCTGGGGGCTGAGTCTAAGATAAGAATGGAACAGGGGAGGGTGACAGCCTGAAGCTGGCTTCTTGGGGTTGTCAAAATTTTAGATTGGGGAGAGGCCTCTAATAGGGCCAGCCTCTGTTCCCAGAGCATATATATCTAAGGGGCTTTTTGTTCATCCTAGGGGTGTGGTGACTAGGTGGGTCTGAGGCTTCTCTTTCTGGTTTTAGATGTGGTCTCAGGAAGAAAGCAGGGATCCTGGGAGGTTCCATCTGCTCTCTGACAGATGAACCCCAGCTCCCTACCAAGGCATCTTAGGAAGACAGAGGCTCACTGGGACTGGATGGCATCACTGGGGAAGGATTCTGGGGGAACCAAGCTTTGGGGGCCATAGGATGGTGCGGGTGCCATGAAGGCAGATTTCGGCCTCTGGGACTTGGGCTCCATGATAGGCACTTGAGTCCTGAGGCCTGGTGAGCCAGAGGAAACACCGTTCAGCTCTCTTTAACCATCCCTTTCAGTCCAAAGCCAGAGCCTGAGAAGAAGCCAGAGCACTTTTCAAGGAGCCACGGGGATGCTGGGTTCCAGAAAGAGCCTATGGTCCCAGGCATCGTGGATTTTGAGTTGATCCAAGAGGAGCTGAAGATCCCTAAGCCCCAAACACCCAGTGCCTATCGCTTTGGACGCCTCAGCCACCATTCCTTCTTCTCTCGACACCACCCCCAACCACAGCGTGTGACGCACATCCCAGGTAGGGCCAAGTGGGCAGGATCTGGCTCTAGGGCCCTGCAGAAGTGGGTATCCCTAATTGGTCACGAGATCTGGTATAGAGGCATGCATTCTTACCCCATTTCCAGGCAGAGCCTAGAGAGCATGGGGCCTGGCGGGCATCTCAAGGGCTGGGGGCTAGGAGAAATATGGAGGCTGCGGGGGGGGGGGGGGCACATCAGAGGTTCCCTCCAGAATCCCCTTCCCTCTGAGTCAGAGAAACCACCTCATAACTATGCTCTGACCTCCAACTCATGCTGCTCTGTCCCTTTGGCCACCCACCCACCCATCTGCAGCATTTACAGGGTGTGAGCTAGAGGATGACACTTGTCTGGACTCCAAGGACATGAGGATAGACAGAACAGACTACTGTCCCTGCTGTCCTGGAACTGACACCCGGCTAGCTGGGAAGGAGGAGACATAGACTAGATGTCACTGTTAGGTGGCAGAGAGGAGATGGCCACTTTGAAAAGGTCTGTCACCAGAGTCCTAGTCAATGGCGTGATACTGAGAAAGACTAAAGGGAGTAAGGGGGGAGCCATGAGCACAAATCAACCCAGCACTAGAATGTCCTGCAGACGGACACAAGGGCCCTGGCTCTGTTGGAGGTACAGCAGGAGAGCTCCTGGGGTGTCTGCAGCAGGGTCAGAAGTGGAAAGGAAGAGACAGACAGTTTCAGAGAGGCACTAGAGCTGGATCAGGTGGACCCTGCAGGCCATTGGTACTGTCTGAAGGCACCTCAGCCTGACACGGTGTGTACCCCGATAACCCTGGCATTTGCAATGCAGAGGCAGAAGGATCGCCACAAGTTTAAGGCCACCCTGGTCTACCTAAGAGGTCCTGCCTAGCCTGAGCCACCTAGTGAGATTCTGTCTAACATTCATGGTAGTAATCACTTCACTGAATCAAGTGGGGCCATGGGGAGGGTGATAGCACAGAAGTGACCATCAGAGGTATTTGAGCAAGGTCCTGCTGGCCTCGATGGAAGTTGAACCATTAAGAAGTAGAAGATTCTACAGCTCTAGTCTAGAGGTACAGGTCTAGGACTTGACCACCGACTGAAGGTGGAGTATAGGGCAGAGAGAGGCATGGACGCCATTCCTTAATGGTCAGCTTGAGCAGCTAGAGAACCAGAGTTCCAAGAAGCCATCAAGGGTCAGTGGAGGAGGGGATAGAGGTGGGGAGGAGCCTCGGGTGGAGGAAACAGCCAGGAGCAAGTTGGGGAGATATCACTGTGAGAGGCGCTTGAGAAGAAACAACGCACTGTGAAGACACGAGAGCAGAGCTCTGGATTAAGAGGTTGAGAAGATTAGGACACATTAGAGAAGATGAGGAGAAGCCAAAGAGCCTGGAGAAGCCAGTAGAGTGGGGGTCCTGGGACCAAAGCAGCAAAGGCCTAGCCAAGCATGGTGGCCTACGCTTGCAATCTGAGCATTGGAGAAGCGGAGACAGGAGGATCCCTAGTGCTCAGGGACCAGCCATCCTAGCAAAATGGGTGAGCTGCTGGCCAATGAAGACTCTATCTCAGCTAAAACAAGGTCGATGGTGCCTGGGGAACATCAGCCAAGGTTGTTATCTGGCCTCACCTGCACACACATGAACATGCATGGGTAGACACACAGACATAGATACACAGACAGACAGACAGACAGACACACACACACACACACAGGTGCGCACACGTGTGTCTTGGCTTTGTGTGTATATGTGTGTATGCGCATTCACGTCTATGAGTGTGCATGTACCTATGCCAAGGTACGTGTGTGGAGGTCAGAGGACAGCCTCAGGGGCCAGTCTTTGCCTTCCACCTGTTTGATACAGAGTATCTTTGTTTTTCCTCTATCTATACCAGGCTAGCTGGCCAGCAAGCTTCCTGGATACCCTCTCTCTACCTCCCAAAATCTCCCCATACACTAGATTACAGATGCTCACACTGCTCATCTGACTTTTATGTGGGTCCTGGGGATTCAAACTCAGATCCTCACATTTGCATGGCCTGAGATTTTACTCACTAAGCCATCTTAAAAAACAACAACAACAACAACATGAGTCTAGGTATTGAACTCAAATCCTCTTGTTTTCAAGGCAAAGCACTTACCAACTGAACTGTCTCCCTGGTCCTCACAGTCATCTTCTTTAATCCACCTACAATTCATTGACCTGCCCCAGGAAGCCAGAAGGACCTCCGGAGGTCTCATGAAGGCGTGACTCTGTCTTACCTCTGCCCAACTCACTGGTGACCCTGGGCGGGTCCTTCTCGTTCTTGTGCCCATGAGTATAGTGGCAGTGGTTGCTGGTCTAGGTTTTTGGCTCTGATGATATATGAGCTTGTGGTAACAGGAAGAGGAGGACCTGAAGGGCTCCCTGCCCCTCACCACCTCTTTCCAGCCCCCCGGAGCTCCTGGGTGTCTCCCAGGCCTCCCAAACCACAGATCTCATCTTCTCCGCAGATTTCACCGGGAAGCCTGTCTGCGTGGTCAGGGACGGGTTCTCTTTGGCACCCTTGACTCAGTCTGCGCTCTTATCCGGTTGTCTGATGGGGATGCCCACCATCTCTGACCCCATTGGGGACCCACAGTCCAATCGGAACCCCCAGCTTTCTTCTGGTGGGTACTTTGGCCACACCCTTCTACCTGGGGGCTCATAACCTCTCCTCCCAAAGCGTGTGGTTGGGCAGGGGCCTGAGAAGGAAAGGTCCAATGCTCTTCAATTGGGGTTCCCCCTTTCCCCTCATTTCCGGGACCAATCTTATGTGTTATTCCCCAGACCCTAACCCTCAAAAGGTGCACATGCTTGGATTGTAACAAAGAGCAGGAGTCAGCTGATTTCGGACATAGTCGTGTGACTTGGAGCTAGAGATGAGAGTGACATGTACACTCAGGCAGTAGTTTATCAGGACCTCCAGCTGCAGTGGAGGAGGGGCTTTGGAGGTCAAGCCCTGCTTTTCTGCTGCTAGGGTTTGGGAGAGTCAGGAGAATGGGGTGTGGTAGAAATCCTGTCAGACAGGGTAACAGCCAGTGAAGGGCAGAGACGTTTGAGGGCTGGCTGTGGAACACTATACCTGTCTAGAGAGTGGTTCACCGTCTTAATAACAGGTTTGGCATCTTTCCGGAATCTCAGTGTTGGCTCCAGGCATCTAAAAGGGAAGAGAAGCCAGATCAAACCATTTGCATTTAGACCCAGTAGCCTAATGTCCTCCAGCATCCCCCAGAGGGGACTCAGGGAGACTGTCAACATCAGCAACCCTTTTCCCATGTGGTTTCTAATGCTTCTCCCGGGGCAGAAAGGCTTGCAAAATGGAGGGGGCACTTCTGCCTAGAACCTTTCCCTCCATCCCAGTCCTGGCGACACAGAGAGGGCAAACAGGGCCTCCAAGATCTTGTCCTGTCCTCTCAGACACCTGGCGGAAGAATCTAAAGGACCTAGCTTCCCGAGCATTTACTAAGGAGATCGAGCCAAGGACCAATGAGGCTGGTGCCGAGCAAAGGAGCGAGCCTGGAAAGAAAGCCTTCGTGAGTCCTTCCAAAGCTCTGCTGTGGGCATGGGCGGGGGGGGGGGCTCCTCAGGGAGGGCAGTGACAGTGAAGGCCAGAGAAACACAAAATCACACCCAGCAGAGAAATCCAAGACGGGTCCCCCAGAAGCACCCTCTAGGGTCATCCATAGCGGCTTATGGGGAAGACGTCTGAGCAGAGGCCCTCTGGCCCACTTTAGGACATGTTTAAAGAACAGAGCCTGGAGCACAGGGTAGAAGTGGGTAGTGATGGAGAGGCGAGGAGGAGGCAGACTTTGAATGGGGGGAGGAAGAATTTCTTCCTGACTTCCCCACACAGGTTAGCATCCAACCTCATCGGGAGTGGAGAATCGTTAGAGGTTTTCAGACAGAATGGGGATGAGCTCCCAGGTGCCCTTCAGGGACAAAGTGGTAAAGGCAGGGGGTCTGGGGACAGACCTTTGTAATGGGGTAATCCAGGTATAGAGGTAGGGACATGGCTTCCGGTCCCGTTTGCTCATTAGAGTGCTCAGGATAACTCAGCTAAGTGTCCAGGGCTTGTTTTCTTTAAAATGTAAGGGTAAATGGCTGTGGTGATGACATCTCTAATCTCAGCATTAGGGAGACAGAGGCAGGAGGATGACTGCAAGTTTAGGGCTAGCCTGCTTCACACAGCAAGTTCCAGGCCTGTCAGTGCTGCTTACTGAGGTTTTCTCTCAAACCAAATAAAAGCAAAGGAAAAACAAAACAAAACCAAACCACCACCACCCCCCAAAAAACCCAGTGGAAGTACATGCTTTAGCTAGAATTACATGGACAGGAGACTCTAAGCCTGCCCTGTCCCCAGAGATTTCCCAAGGCAGAGAAAGGGTGTCAAGGGCTGGGAAGGCGGCTCATTCAGAAAGCACTTGACAAAGAAAGAAATGGAAAGAGGGAGAGAGAGAGAGAGAGAGAGAGAGAGAGAGAGAGAGAGAGAGAGAGAGAGAGAGGAAGAAGAAGAGGAGGAGGAGGAGGAGGAAGAGGAGGAGGAGGAGGGAGGAGGAGGAAGGAGGAGGAAGAAGGAGGAGGAGGACCAAAGGAAGGAAGGAAGGAGAGAGAGAGAGAGAGAGAGGAAGAAGAAGAGGAGGAGGAGGAGGAAGGGGAGGAGGAGGAAGAAGGAGGAGGAGGACCAAAGGAAGGAAGGAAGGAGAGAGAGAGAGAGAGAGAGAGAGAGAGAGAGAGAGAGAGAGAGAGAGAAAGAAAGAGAGAGAGAGAAAGAAAAGCACTTACCTTATAAGCATGGCGGAGCACACACTTACACTTAATCTCTCGGGAGACAGAGGTGCTCAAATCTGTGAGTTTGTGAGTTTGAAACCAGCCTGGTCTACATAGTGAGTTATAACACAGCCAGGTCTATGTAGAGAGCACTTGCCTTATAAGTCTGAAGACCTGAGTTCACTCCTCAAAACCCACATTTAAAAAAGCCTGAAGGTGAGGGTATGCTGGAGAGATGGCTCTCCAGCCAGTTAAGAGTGCTGTCTGCTCTTACCGAGGATCCTGCTTCAGTTTCCAGCATGCACACACGGTGGCTCACAACCATTTGTAATTCCAGTTCCAGGGCATCCACAGAGGATGCGGCACACACGTGGGGCACATCCATGCATGCAGGCAAACACTCCTAAATAAATCTTAAAAAAAAAAAAAAAAAAAAAAGGATGAGGAATGACTCTTGAGGTTGACCTCTGACCTCTCTGCACACACATGCACACTTGAGCACACATGTGCACTTGTATACACATGAAAATGCAAAAACACATGCACACACATGCACAGAGGCAGGGCACGGAGAATAAAGGATGCTAAGCTGTGAGGAACAGACCTCAGACATAGGAGCAGTGGAGGTAGGAATCAGGGTCGACACAGGGGCCTTGGCACAGGACACTACTCCCATACCTCTGATGTTTGGAAGAGGATCTGCCCTGGGATGCTGAGTTAGGATGCAGGAGGAGCCAGGGCCAATGAAGGAGGACCTGGGACAGGGTGGAGCTGGCTTGATAGCATCCTAGGTCCCTGCTGGGATTTGGGGGAGGCAGCATCTGGTGTGGCCTGGCCTCTACTTCATCTCTTCCCCCTGCCTTCTCCCACTCTCACCAGCTCCTAGACTGTCTTTATCACCTTCCTTCCAGCAGAAGGAAGAGCCTCCTCTGAGGGAGCAGGGGGCAAAGTACTCAGCTGAGACCGGTAGGCTTATTCCAGCTTCCTGCCAAGCCCTCAGCCGCCGTGGCCACCAGGGGCAGCGGGGCCACTCTTCTGGCAGAGATGGAGGAGTCCAAGCCTCCATTCTGCAGGACCAGGACCTGCTGGTAAGCCCCACTCTGGAGGCAGGGGCTTGCAGTGGTCTCAGCCTCTAGGTTCCCAGGCCTTCCAGCCAGCCTTCTGGCCTGCCTTAGGGTGGCTTCTCCAGAGACACTGCCCCCTAAGACTGTAAGACCACCAAGACCATGCATGCCCCAGGAGTCAGTGTCCTGGGCTCTGAGCTTCTCTGCCTCTAGACAGACCTGTTATCATCCTGACCCTCTCTGCGTAAGTCTTCCCTCATGGGTCATTGGGCAATTTGGGAGCATGTGTATGTTACCACTGCATTACCACCGAAGCGCCTTTCCAGTGTCAACATCCACTGTTCTGAGAAAGCTGCATGCGGGACCGAGAAGCTGGGAGGGACGGGCCTGCCAGAGCATTCTCAATCCACAGCCTGCAAGGCTAGCCTGGACTCGGCTTCCTGTGCTCCTTTCCTCCTCAAAACTTGAAATGAGGCCCCACGGTGTGGCAGGGGATGAGGGCATTGGCGATCCCTATGAAAAAATGCATGAGTGCCCCCCAGAGCCAAAGTGTCGCCACCTCTTGCTGAACGGCATTGCTTTGGGGCCCAGACAGATCTCAGGATCCCCATTCAACAGATGAAGAGGTTTAGGCTTTTGCGGGGGGGGGTGGTGGTGGTGGTGGTGGTGATGTTCTGTGACTGGGTCCCACAATGGACGACTAGCCTAGGCGGGCTAGAATTGGTACTTTCTCCACCATAGGGCAGCCTCACCGCATCTGGAGTTAGGTTCTCAGGTCCCGTGGGGAGGGGGCCCAGGGCAGGTAAGGAGCATTGGAAGAATGGGGAAGGAAGGCCCAAAGGCCAGTTCAGGGTGGGTGCTGCAAGCAGGGAGGCTAGGGTGGGCATCTAGCAGGTACCGGCCTGAGGGAGAAGCCCAATCCAGTTCCTATTCCACCAAGGATAAGGTGGGCCTGCCAGGGTCTGATAGGCCCCTCCAGGTCCTTGGGAAGGCTGATTGGAAAGGGCTAAGGGAACCCTACTTTCCTAGGACTCCCAGAGCTCCACCTCCCACGGTGGGTCCCCCCTCCAGCCTTCCATAGCTACAGCCGCCACCTGCAACCTGGCCTAGGAAGTCCCCAGAGCACATCCAGGACACAGATGGACCATATACTGCGGCTACTTGACTGGAGGAGACAGGGGAAGCCACTGGCTGAGGAGGCAGCTAGGAGTCAAGAGTCCAGGCTACTTCACTGGATGGAGCCCCTTACTAGGCACTTGGCAGAAACAGCCCACTCTGGCCAGCAGGCTGCCTATAGCGAATCCCCTACCTCCTGGCTAACATCTCCAGATTCTTGGAGCTCCTGGGGGGGGAGGCCCGTGGGGTACCCCAAATCACCACCCAAAAGATACCAGCATGTAGGATTCGGTGCGTCTCTGAGGAGATGACTGGCCAGCTCTGATTTTGCTGTCCCAGTGAGGGGCCCTAGGTTCCAACCAGCCCAGTGGAGACTATGGGGTTGAGAGGTCTAACCGGTCTGATATCTGAGGCTTGATTCTGTCCTAAAGTCCCCCACTTGATGCCTTCCTTTCTCAAAGCCTCACATTCTTTACCTGCCCAGCAGGAATCCTAAGGACAATTGTGAGAAAAAAAGTCCCCCCCTCCTCAAAGTGTTAGGACCCATGGATGAACCTTTAGGGGGAGCCAGTTTAGCCAAGCATGTGGCCCAGAGACCCCATGTCAAGGGGAGGAGGCTGCTGTTCCCGGAGCCCACATTTGCCGGAACTTCTGTGTGCTAGAGTATGACAGGGACTCCCACTGACCCTGGCCTGTCCTCTTTCACACAGATCTTGGAACTTCTTTGTCAGATTCTACAAACAGATTCCCTACACGCTATCCAGTTCTGGCTGCTCTACGCTCCACCAAAGGGTGAGGACACCATAATGTGGCCCTCTCTATATGGGGGTGCGGTGTGCTGCCAAGATCTTGTCCTTGTTCCTGATCCCGCAGGACAGATGTCCCTCTTGGGAGTCCCAAAGCATCCCAAAGATTTCCCAGCACCACCTCATGCCCTACTTCTGCACTTCTGTGGCTCTGTTCCTCAGAGGGGACCCCTCTTTAGTACTGACCTCAGGCATAGGTGTCTGGGCGAGGAAAACAGCCAAAGACTGTCCCTAGCAGACCCAGCCCTTCCTAGCTGCTGTAGGAAACATATGCACGATGATGTGAACTCAAGAACACACAGGCTTGGCCCACAGAGCCCAAAGTGACACATCCGCTTTGGAACAGTGAGGGTAGGGGTAGAGGCTGAATCCCCCGGGACTAAGCTCACTGGAGGAAGGATGGGAGGAAGGAGGCACTGGAGGGGTGGGGGAGGAGGGTAAATCCCAGGAGATTTCCAAATGTGGCCCTGGAGTAGAGAGGAAGGGAGGTGGGAGCGGGCGGAAGGGGTCACAACCAAAGTGTATACAGGCTTTTCTGGTAGGAGAGAGTGATGTAGGGCTGAGGGCTCTGCACGCAGAGCTACAAGCACTGTGGGGGACCTTCCTTGGCATTGGGGAACCTATGAGGAAGTGTAGGATGATTAGAGGAAGCTGTCCTTCGCCAGGGTTGGGACTAGCTGCATGAGGTAGGAAAGGGGTAGGGCTGAGGACATGCCCTGTGCTGCTTTCAGAGAAAGACCTGGCGCTGGGACTTCTGCAGACAGCTTTGGCTCAGTTAATCCCCCAGCCCCTCCTCTCCCTCCCAGAAGAAAATCTCTTGAATCAACTCCAAGAGCTTCAAGAACCTCAAGAGACACAACAGACAACCTACAGGTGGGCTCCGGGCCCTTCCGTTCCCAGAACCACGCCCTGACGGTCAGCATCTGCCTTCCCTGGCTGAGTGACCCCCCATAATTCCAGCACTGCAGCATTGGGAAAGGAAGGCGGGATCCTTGAAGAACGCTAGACTAGGTGTATCAGTGTGCTTTGGAGGCAGTTGAGAGATCCTGCTTCAAGGAGTAGGGTGGAGAACATCCATGTGGGTGCAGGATCTCACACGCTTGCACAGCCAATGCCTTAAGTACTTAGCCATCTCCCCAGCCGTACGTTGAGGACTGGAAACCAAAAAGTTGAAAGGCTGAGAAAAGGCCTTCTCAGGAGGTGGGAGGCGCCCAGGCCTGGTGGCCGGGAATGAGCAGACTGTAGGGACTAAACTTTGGGGTACTGGGGCATGGTTGAGAAAGTGGCTTAGGTTTGGAGGAGGCATATTTTGGTGGGTGGTTGCTTTGTGGATCAGGCTGGCCTCAATCCTGCTTTGTATCTGAAGATGACCTTGAACTGAACCCTCTTGCCTCTGCCTCCTGAGTGCTGGGATTACAGGTGTACACCACCATATCCTGTTTAAACAGTGCTGAGGATGGAACCCAGAGCTTTACCCATGGTAGGCAAGCCTTCTACCAACTGAGCTACAACTTCATCCCTAGGACATAGGTTCTTGCTCCAGCCCTAGAGTTGGTGTTCTTTTACTTTTTGAGAGAAGAAAGGAAGACCAAGGGCTTGGGGTTCATTGGTAAAGAGTTGTCCAGGCCTTGGGTTCATTTCCTAGGCGACAACATAATAAACGTGCCAATGGAAGGGGAGCTAAACAGAGAGGCAGGCATTACTGGGTTCAGACGAGAGATCCCACGTCAGCCTCTTCACCCCTCTCTAAAGCTTCCTGCCAGAGCTGTAGGAGAAATGACACGGGTGTGTGTGAAGGGCAACAGTAGCTTACAGATCACACAAGGTAGAAGATTACTAGTCACTTGTCCAGAACCAGCTTGACAGGCAAGGGACTGTAAGAAAGGCCACAGCCCTGGCTATCCCAGACAAGAGGATCTTGGTTCCCCATGGCTACAGCAGACAAAGAATCAGAGCTGTCTGGTTCCTGCTTTGGAGGTGCAGGGAGACTGTCTGGGTCCATCTGTGGACAGTCCTGCACCAGCTCTTCAGCAGGGGGTGTCTCGCCTCTTCTGGCAGCTGGTGGTTGACCACACCGATGCCACCTCCCAACGCCTAACCAACCTACCATCTTTCGACTCGGCCTCCCAAGCCCGTCTTTTGTATTTGTTTATAGTCCATCCCTGAAGAAGACAAAGACACCACCTTTATCCAAGGCAGAAAAACCAGGTAAGAGCCCTCCAAGGGAGTTATTGATCCCATAGGGTCACGGAGGCCAACTCTGGCTGGATTCCTGCCCAAGGAAGCTGGGTCACTTCTTCATGGAGCAAACATTTATTGTATACTTACTATGTGTTGGGCTCTGGGGAGTCACGAGGGAGGAATTGGGACAAGTTCCTATGTCATCGGGGCTTACATCTTAGAGAAGAAGTGTATACAAAGGACAGAACTCACAGGAGGACAGCAAGTTAATTTCGGGGGTGGGGGTGGGCAGGGGGCACTCCTTATCCTGAGCCACAGAAGCTTCCACCTGGGAATGCCCAGGGAGAGTCTTCAAGTAGAGCTCTCCTCACCTGGTATACTGATGGAAGAACACGTTGGCCAGGGTATTTGGGCCTCTGGGTGGAGGGTAGCAGTATGAGGTAAGACAAGACAGGACCAGCCTTTTGAAGAGTGTAGGACACTCTGGAGGTTATGAGCAGGATGTGGTATGTCCCCGTGGTCACTATACACGGCATGGATGGAGGTGGTATTGGCAAGAAGGGACAAAGGATCCCAGACAGGAGCCCCCTGCAGTGGGCATAGCATCTTAGACCAGAGAGTGCGCGGGGGGGGGGGGGGGGGGGGAGGGGGGGGGAGGGGGGGGGACGGGGGGGGGGACGGGGGGTGGGGACACGGACGACGGACAGCGGAGGGCGCACAGCTGGAGGGGAGAGAATGCTTGTCAACAGTGGACAGGATTCTCCCTTGTCAGGCTGTGTGGCCCTCCCAAGGGCCCAGCAGAGTGTCTAGCGCACAGTAGGTGCTTGACTTGGGTTTGGTATCCAGATAAGAAAGGACCAGGGAGCGGTATGGCTCACAGAAGTAAGCCAGCTCGTCCGTCCCAGTTCCCTCACTGAACCGAAGGCAAAGCTGGCCTACCTCCCTATCTGCTCTCCCGTCTCTTGCCACTGCCTCTCCCATCCTCCAGAGTTTGTGGGCAAAGCCCAAGTCCTCCGCGTGCATTCCGACGAGGACTCAGAGGAGAAAACGACCAAGACAAAGGCCGAGAGCTGAGCAGCACAGCCCAGAGCATGGAGACAGACGTCTGCCTAGCTCAAAGGCAGCTTCTAAGCTTGTGAAGGGTGGGGCTCCTGTCCCACTATGTCAACACCAGCCCCTGGTCTCCAACCACACTCTACTAAATAAAGTGCTGCCTCCCCTGGATGAGGACAGTTCTACCCTCCCACAGGAGTGTCTGTGTTTAGATGCTTTACTCTAGAAGAGTAGAACGCCCTCCCATGGAGAAAGCCCGGGTACCATTCACAGTCAGCAAGGGTCTTCCCATCAATTAATGTAATCAAGATAATCTCCCACCGGCATGCTCAGAGGCCTATCTTGTGGGGGGGTGGGGTCTAGATCAGAGGTTCTCAACCTCTGGGTCATGACCCCTCTAGGAGGCCATGTATCAGATATTTACATTTTCATAACAGTAGCAAAATTACATTGATGAAGTAGCAGCGAAAGTAACTTTATGGTTGGGGGGGAGGTCACCACAACGTGGGGAATGGTATTAAGAGGTCGCAGCAGTAGGAAGGTTGAGAACCGCTGTTCTAGATCCTGTCAAACGGACAACTAACGTGAAGTATCACGACCACCATGCCTGGCTGCTGCTTTCAATATTAAAGCACCCATTCTTAAAGCCCTTAGCCAACCTGTTGGTTTATATTTTTCCCCCAGGGGCAGCATAAGTGACAGCTGTGCCCATCGCTGCCTCTCTGGCTTTATTGTCACCCAGTCACTAGTTGCTTCCACATTTACCTCACCCATCTTTGGAAAATAAGGTCAAATATAAAAGGCAAGTTATCATCTTAGCCACCCAGAAGGTGTGGTGGTTTGAGTAAGAATGGCCCCCACAGGCTCACATAGATGCTTAGGGAGTAGCACTATTTGAACGGATGAGGAGGTGTGGCCTTGTTGGAGGAAGTGTGTCACTGGGGGTGGGCTTTGAGGTTTCAGAAGCCATGCCAGGCCCAGTGTCTGTCTCTCGCCCTGCGGCCTGTGGATCCAGACATAGAACTCTCAGCTACCTCTCCAGCACCATGTCTGCCTGTGTGCCGCCATGCTTCCCACCGTGACGATGGGCTAAACTGTAAGCAAGCCCCAACTAAATGCTTTCTTTTATAAGCGTTGCTGTGGTCATGGTGTCTCTGCACAGCAACAGCACACTGACTGAGACAGAAGGGTAGTGGTCCCTCCCTTGTGGGACCATCACTCCATGCGTCGCTGAAGCTATTCCGTCTTGCAGAAGTTGAACTACTACCACCACAAAAATACCTTGGATTGTGTAATTCACAGACAAGCGAAGCTCTGGAGGTCAAAAAGCCCAAAGTCAAGGCTCGGGTAGGTTTGGGGTCTGATGAGGATCTGCCACTCTTAGATGGTATCTTCTGTATGCCATGCACAGCAGAATGGGAAGACAGTCTTTTATAAGTCTTTAGAAGGTGAGCCCTTTTGTAAGGGTGCCTATTCACTTTCTATTCACAGAGTCAGAACCCTCATGAGCCAATCCTTTCCAAAGGTCTATGTTTTCAAATTGAGCCAGGGACTCACCATTTAGCCCAAACAGGCCTTGAACTTAAAATCCTCTTGCTTCAGCCTCTCAAGTGCTGGGATTACAAAATGTGAGCCACCATACCTGGCCAAGTTCCAATTTCTTAATACTATCAGATACCCTGGGGACAGTACCTAATACTACCACTTTTCAACATATTAATTTTTTTTGTGGGGGGAGACAAACATTCAGACCATAGCACCCACAAAACAGTAAGCCCCCATTTCCCTCTTCTCAACTGCTGGAAACCACCCTCCGATTTTCTGTGTCTGAGAGTGGAACGGTTCCTAGGCGTCTACCAGAAGAACCCTCTTTGTCTCTTTGTGGCAGGTCTGTTTTGCTTGGCATAACATCTGTGAGAGTCAAACAAGTTGTGACCTGTGTCACAGTCTCCTGCCACCTGGTTTTATGGATGGAGCAGTCAAGCTCTCCAGCCCAGACTACACAGTTTCATCAAGGTCCGAGCCCCACCGAAGGTCTGTTCATAGCGCAGGGGACATAATACCATCACCCACCTTCGCTAACAGTGCCCTCCAAAATATCCACATAGGAAAAGAATCCTAGACGACACCTGCTTCAAAAATAAACCACAGCTGGCATGAAAACCCTGGCCCTATGGTGGGCCCTTCTTTAATTTCTCAAGGTGTATTGCTAAGGCGTGATTACCTGTCACTGTGGATTCTCGTTCATTTTGGTTCATGGTTCAGTCCCTGGTCAGTGGCTACCCTGCTACAGTCCTGAGAGGCAGAACGTCATGAAGACAAAATGTCATGGTGAAGAGGAGTATGGGGTAAAGAGGCTGTTCATTGCAGCCAAGAAGCAGGGAGAAGAGAGAGGAGTCTAGGACAAGATGTAGTCTCTGGGGACATGCCCCCCCGCCCCCGAATTGGGCACTTCCCTCCAACTAGTCCTCAAGTTCCCACCCCAACTCCAAAAGTTCCCATCACCTCCCAACAGCTGGAATCCATCAATGGGTTCATCTTGAGGTAGGAGCCCCTTGTAATTTAATCACTTGGAGTTGAATGGGTTCAGCTGTTTGCAGGGTGGGGGGCAACTACCTGGGATGTCCACTCCTCCTCTTCCTAGGTTTGCAGAAAGCCCAGTTCTGTCCAATCAGAGCACAGAACTGACTAACGGGGAAGACAAGCATTGGGCCAAGCATAAGCCGACCTTGGGAAGATTTTGTGCTGGCCCCTGAAGTTCACAGGATGCTGACCCCTAAACTTCACAGGATGCTGTCTATCGTTGGTCATCAGCACTCCATGGAGACAAAGTGCTGGACACACCCACTTTATGTCCTTGATTCTCCCACATTCATTCCCATACGTGAGGCATTAAAATACTAAGCGTTGCCGTGTGGTAGTGGCACAAGCCTTTAATCCCAGCACCTGGGAGGCAGAGGCAGGTGGATCTCTGAGTCTGAGACCAGGTTGGTCTACAGAGTGAGTTCCAGGACAGCCAGGACTACACAGAGAAACCCTGTCTAGAAAAAACAAACAAACAACAAAAACAAAACCCCAAGTGTTAACTTTTATGCTTATTTGTTACATAAAACCTCACCATGTTTAAGAGCACGGCTCAGAAGCATCAATAATGTTCCATCTGCTCTGGAATCTTCCTCATCCTCTCCCAGAGTGGCTCCTCTTGCAAAAACCGAACCTCTGCTGCCATGAAACAGGAACTCTCCTTCCCTCCTCCAAGGCACTCCAGCCCTTGTTCTTTGTTTTGTTTCTGAGGGTTTGGCTGCTCTGGATGCCTCATTTAGAGCACCTCTTCCTGTTAGCTTACTCCACGTAACAATGCTTTCAAGATTCATCCATGTAGCATGTCAGGGTTTCCTACCTTTTTGAAGGCTAAATAATATTCCACTGCATGGATAGATCATGTATTTGGGGTTAGTGTGTGTGTGTTGCTAGAAAAGTGCTCTACTGCTGTGGAATATTATTTTAACCAGGCAAAGATGTGTTACATTTGTTTATGTGGCAGAATACTACTTTAACTGTATAAAGGTGTGTTATATTTGTTTATGCTGCATTTTTTTAACATGTAAGGACGTGTGTTTAATTATGTAAAGATGTGTGGTATTTGTTTCACCTTGCCTGCCTAAGGCACCTGATTGGTCTAATAAAAAACTGACCGGCCATAGTTAGGCAGGAGAGGAGGTGGGGCTGGCGGGCAGAGAGAATAAATAGGAGGAGGAACCTAGGCTCAGGAGAAGAGGAGAATGAGGGAGGAAGAGAGGGACACGCCTAGAGCAAGAAGCCAGGCGGCCCCAGACACAAGAAGCAGTGAAAGTAAGATACACAGAAGGAAAGAAAAGTAAAAAGCCCTGAGGCAAAAGATAGATAAGAGAAACAGGTTAATAAGTTAAAAGAGCTAGCCAGAAATGAGCCTAAGCTAGGCTGAGCAATCATAACTAATAATTCTGTGTCATGATTTGGGAGATGGTTGGTGGCCCAGAAGAAAAAGCCTGGTACCCTCCATCACTGAGTTACATTCCCTGTCCTGCCCCTAGACCACACTGTTGGTGTATTTATTCCTTGATGCACAATGTCAGGTGGCTCCCACTTCTGCCCATTGCGTATGATGATTCTCTGGGAATAAGCATCACGGGTACAGCAATAGATTTCTGTGTCACATGTCAACAAAAGAACCTAGAACTAACCTAAAGGTATGTAATATGCTAGAGAGAAGGTTCTAGAATTGGCTTTTTTTTGTTTTGTTTTGTTTTGTTTTTCGAGACAGGGTTTCTCTGTGTAGCTTTGCGCCTTTTCCTGGAACTCACTTGGTAGCCCAGGCTGGCCTCGAACTCACAGAGATCCGCCTGGCTCTGCCTCCCGAGTGCTGGGATTAAAGGCGTGCGCCACCACCGCCCGGCTAGAATTGGAATCTTTATCACCAGAGTTCTGTTCTCAGTTCCTGACAAGCCCCTTCCTTGCTAAATATGAGCCATGCCTACCTCCCCACCATGAATTTTGTTACAACTGCTGATCGCCTATTCTAGTGTTAATATTTGTTTGCATTTATCCATTTTATTCCTTGATGTAATCCTGTTCCAAGCAATAGTCTCTCCACATCGTGGTTTTGGTGTATTGTTCATAAAAGTTTCTCCCGTACATGAAAATAAATTCTGGGGCTGGCAAGATGGCTCTGTGGGTAAGGGCCCTTGCTGCCAAGCCTAGCGGCCTGAGTTAGATTCCCGAGGACCTACATGGTAGAAGAAGAAACAGGCTCCTTGTGAGTTCTCTGACCTCCCATCACTGTGTCCTGGCACATGTCCTCAAAAACACTCTCTCTCTCTCTCTCTCTCTCTCTCTCTCTCTCTCTCTCTCTCTCTCTCTCTCTCTCTCTCTCTCACACACACACACACACACACACACACACACACACACACACACACAGTGAATAAAATGTAATAAAAGCTTTTAAAAATAAAAAACTGGGTAGGGAGGGGGAGAGGATCTGGAGGGACTTGGGAGAGGGGAAGACTATGAAATGAAAAAAAAAATAATTGTAAATTTAAAAGTCTCCCTTACTCTAAATAAACTGTCTCTCTGCATCACCGAAGTTCACCTAGTCTGCTACTAGAACATTCTGATCTTCTTGGAGAGTATTGATCGAAAGAGATGGCGAGATAGTGTTACAATGAAGACTGAAGACAGCTCTGTGGACATACATAGGAATGTTCCAGTTCCTGTTTCTCTCACCCAGTCTGCTTGCTCAACAATCAGCTCCCCACCCCCGACCCCCCAACCCCCACCCCCCACCCCCGCCCTGTTCCACATCAATAGATGAGAAAGGGACAGAGAAACATTTTCATCAATGGCAGGGAAGCCTGTCCCATAGTCTGGCCTCAAACTCAGTATGTACTACCGGAGCATGGCCTTGAACTCTCGATCCTTCTGTTTCCATTTCCTGTGTCCTGGGACTACCGGCATGCACCACCAAGTCTAGTTTCGTCTTCGATTCTTAAATATTTAATCTACACAGAACTTTTAGGAGGCAGATACTCTTGTCACAATTAGGTAAGGCGCTTAAAGAAACCATGTGTGGGCTTGGGAGATGGTTCAGTGACCTGGGTTTGGATACTCAGGACCCACCGAAAAGCTAGGCACAGCAGTGAACATCTGTGATCCTGGCACTTCTATGTCGAGATGGGCGAGAGAGACAGGAGATTCCTAGAAGTTCATGGGCCAGCTATCCTGATACACAAAGTAGTGGGTAGCAAGGGTCTCACTCTCAAGGCGGAAGCCTAGGACTGACAGCTGAGGTTGTCTTATGAGCCCCCTACACACGTGTGCATAATAACAGCCCTGATCTTACCAGGAAGACTCAGATAATCTATAGAAATGCTAAGCAGGATGCTGCATTTAACAGGCACTAGTGGCCTATGCTTCTCATCAGCACACAGAAAGCAACTGAGGCCCGGAGAGGGCTGAAGTACTTGTTTTGAACCTGCAACACCAGAGCTGAGTCTGCTCTGGACATTCTGGGAACACCTGGTTCTTATTCTTGGCCAAGAGCTCTCAGGCAGCACACCCTCGTTTTCATGGTTTTGCCTGGAGTTCAAGAGCCCTCCTCAGCTCTGCTACAGACCCTGGCTGTCCACTCTGGAGAACTCAGTCCTTTCATACCCCGTGTTCAAGGATCCCATCACACACCCGCAGCCTCCAGGTTGGGAGCCGTTCCCAGGTGCTTTCCACATCTCTTGGCTGCGCCACTGCCAGGCGGGTCTTCATCTCAGTCTCCTAGTGTGCAGTAGCGAAGCCCCCCCGGAAGGGAAGCTATGGTCATAGTCACACAGTAGGAAGCTCAGCGACACCCCTGTTAGGCCTTTATCATAGGCCCACTTTTCAATCATGCTGTTTGCAAGGGAGTCAAGATAAGTAAGTGTGCTCCCCCACCCCACATCTCCTCACCCTCCACCCCCCACTTCATCTCTTTCGGAGGTAGGGTCTCTTGTATCCCAGGCTGGCCTTGAACCATATAGCATCGGACAACTTTAAATTTTGGACTCTGCCGGGAGGTGGTGGCACATGCCTTTAATCCCAGTTCTCGGGACACAGAGGCAGGCGGATCTCTGTGAGTCTGAAGCCAGCCTGGTCTACAGAATGAGATCCAGGAAAGGCGCAAAGCTACACAGAGAAACCCTGTCTCAAAAAACCAAAAAAAAAAAAAAAAAATTGGATCCTCCTGATTCCACTTCCCAAAGTGTTGGGATCACAGGCATGTACTACCGCATCTTCATTATGTGATGCCGGAGATGGAACCCAGGGTCTCCTGCCTGCTAGATGTATTAGTTTGCTTTTTTTGTTCCTATAAAACACTGACCCCAAGCCACTTGGGGATGGAAGGGTTTATTTGGCTTACATGCCCTGATCACAGTCAATCATCCCGGGGAAGTCAGGGCAGGAACTCAAGTAAAAGCAGAGGCAGGAACCATGGAGGAAAGTGTTTTTCTGGCTTATTCAGCTTTCTTACACCACCCAGAACCACCTGCTCAGGGGTGGAACTGTCCACAGTGGGCTGGGCCTTCTCCTATCATTAATCAAAAAATTGACTCCCCAGACATGCCCACAGGCCAATCTGATGGAGACAATGCCTCAACCCAGATTCCTTTTACCTGCATAGGTCTAGGTTTGTGTCAAGTTGACAGAAACTTGCCAGCATGCCAGGCAAGCACGCTACCATCTGAGTCACACCCCCAGCCCATTTCCTGTTCATGTGTACAGATGGGCTCAGGGACCCCAGGAATGCTAGACCTCAGGACTCCTTGGTGAGGCCTCATGCCCAGCCCGGACTCTGTGGGCCCCAAGGATATGTGGCGGCCCTGGAGGTCCCTTGGGCTGGTTTCTGGGCCCCTCTTCCTTGCTTGGGCCCTGGAACCTAGATGTTTATTGAGCAAAGGTTTCTCGTGTTGTATAACGTTTAGACAGACTCACTGCCAATGCCCAGAGCAATTCAAAGTAAAAGTGCAGCAATGGATTGGTAATGTCTGATGTGAGCACAGGCTGGGGACACGCAGCGTGTGTTCTACATGTCTCTCTGCCTTGTTCTAACACCATCTCCCTAGGTCGGGCCTCTGAGGTGTGCACTCCCAGGCCCATGTGGCTGTCCACAAAGAGGCAGCTCTCAGGAGCAAGCATTCTGTCGAGCAGTGGAGACGGAGCTTGGCTGTGAAGCCTGCACTGTCTGAACAGGCATGGGAAATCCTTGCAGGTTAGCAGAAAAAAGGCAGGTACTCTAGGTTGGAGGTGTGTGTATGTGTGTGTGTGTGTGTGTGTTTCAGGGGGGTCTGTATAGTCTTGGCCAAGGTCCCACAAATGTCAGGGAAGAGCCAGTGTAGTAATAGATTATTGATGTCTGACACAGACACAATGTAAGATATGGATTATTCTTCCATCATCCATCCCTCCCCCACGACCCAAGCACTTCTCTCTCTTAGAAGTGCTTGGGATTAAACCCAGGGTCTCAGGCACGCGACTACACAAGCACTCTACTAACAGAAGCTGAGGCACAGATGGGTTCTTTCTCCCCGTCCCCCAACCTCTGCAGTGCTGGGGACCCAGGGACTCTCGCATGCCAGGCAGGCACTCTACCAACTGAACCGTATCCAATCCAACGGACTGGTACTTTAAAAATCAGTGAGTTGCACACCAGCCCTTCTTGCCCAATAAGATGCCACCACCCTTCCTCCTGCTTGGCACCCAGCTCCTGCTTTGATCCTTCCAGGGAAACACTGTTTCGTCACCACCTTCCAAGGAACCCACCCCTTGTAGGGTTGCAAAGGTCTGATTATTAAAAATCATCCTACCGGGGGCCCCAAAGATACCTGCCCAGCCATCTCCATCCTTGGCTTGGCAGCTTGCCCAGAGCTAGTCAGCGCCTTCGGTGACCCTTCCTAATTAGTTCTCACCTGCAATCATCTTACAGCTGCTGGGCCCACCCTGTAGAGCACTGGTTTCATTGCCCCCATACTCCAAAACAGAAACACACACACACACACACACACACACACACACACACACACACACACAGCACCACTTTTGCAGCCCCAAACAAAAACACTGAGGGCAATGTTAATAAATAAGTAACACTTTAAAAATCAGAGTCTCCAGGCTGGTCCACACGGGACTGACCCAGAGTAGTCCCAGCCACCTGCCAAGCGGGGAGCAGTCACGGGAAAAGCACGCCGAGTCCCCAGGGTCCCTGCATCCCACGAAGCTTGCAGGCCAGGGGCCTAAGGCTTCCCTTCCTCCATCTGAGGAAGGTGGACAGATGAGCACCGATGCCACTGACCCTGCCAAGTGAGGAGCTAGACCATTTCCTGAGAGCCAGAGGGCCAAGGGAGGTGAGCCGGGCTCCGTGCGCCCTCCCTACCCCAATCCAGGAGCAGCAGCTGGCATCCTGCCCAGGCCATCCACAGGGTCTGGCTGAGTGGACTCTAGGTCTTGTGACCCACCAGCCTGAACTTCTGAGCATCACACACTCTGTCCCACCTGGAGCCAGAAGGGAAGACCCCAACTGTAGCAGGAGCAGTCCTCAGCAGAGAGGGGTACAGTCTGGGAAATGACATCTCTCTGGTACCTGGTGGTCACCTTTCAGGCTGGGCCTCCTTCGAGCCCTAGGGGTGACTGAAGTTGCATTTCCTGGTCCAACCAGGGGTCAAGCCCTAGTTGGGAAACTCCTGGATGTTAAAGTTATATATCCAGGCCTCTTTCTCTGGTGGCGTGGGTGTAGGATTGGGAGGTCAGAGCCAGGCGGTGGTGGCACATGCCTTTAATCCCAGTACTTGGAAGGCAGAAGCAGGTGGATCTCCTTGAGTCTGAGGCCAGCCCGGTCTACAAAGTGAGATCCAGGACAGCTAGGGCTACACAGAGAAACCCTGTCTCAAAAAACCAAAAGCAAAAAAAAAAAAAAAAAAGGAAGGTCAGTCTATAACCTGGAGTCACCAGCAGTGACATCTACAAGGGACAGAGTGAGTCACAAAAGTGACCCCATAGCCAGCAAAGGTGAACTGATCTCTGTCCTGGAGTTATGAGCAGCCCTCAGCTGACAAGAGCCACGCCTGAGAAGAATTCCTTTCCCCTGCCTGCCTTTGAGCAAGCCCACATCCCCAGCCCTGCTTTGCCTTTGTGGGAGGGGGACTGTGCAGGTCTCCCCGGCAGTCAGAAGTCAAGGACAAGCAAGCATCTCGGACAGACCCCTGCATGAGCTTCAGCTCCCCCACCCCCACCCCTCCCAGCGGCTGTGGGAAGGGGCTTTACTGAGCCTGGAGGAACCAGATCTCAGGAGCTACTTGGAAGTGGAGCCCAAGCTCTTTTGGCTGAGGTATTTCTGGTTAGGGCAATCCCTGATCTCTCTCTTCCCCCAACCCTGTTCATGGGGTTAAGAGCATCACAGCCCCAAACAGAACATGAGGGCAAATAATTTAAAAGGAAACCTGTGCTACTTCCTGTCTCCTGTGTTTGAGTCCTCTGAGCCAAGGTCACTTGGGACCACGTGCAGAGTGTAAACGTGACCTGAGGGGTGGGTTCAAGTCACTGGGGAGGTAGCAGGAAGGCTGGTGCCTCCGTGTCCTGGTTCCTCCCTGGACTGACCTGGACCCTCAGAGGCTGGCACAGCTGTTTGGGTCCAGCCCGAAGGTGGTGGGGTGGCAGGAGAATTACCCTCCAGTGCTCTAGGACTTAGCATCTGAGGGGTGAAGGGATGCCGAGTCCCTGAGGAGAGACTGTCCACCAGCCCTGGCCGCTGTGTGGGATGGCTTTGCCGATGGTCTTCTACTCTGGTTGGCCCCCTTGTAGACTCCACCTCCTCCTGGGTGGCCTTGGGTTCTGGCAGGAGACTCCCAGGAGTGGAGGAGGCGGGGGGTGGGTCCAGGCTGGCACTGGGACCTGAGGCCTTCTTGGTGCAAGACTCACAGCACAAGCGGAGGTAGCCAGGGATGGAGCAATAGCGGTCCAGTACCTTCATCTGGCAGAAGACGGACCTGTCTCCCACACAGGGCTCCACTGCACAAACACGGAGGCAGAGGGATGCCCATCAGGAGAGGACACGATGACTTGCTCCACCAGCAATCCTTCCTCCTTCTTCTGCCCTGGCTGGAATCGCTACATAGCTCATTCCAGAGGGGTCATAGTTCCACCCAAGAGGACAGAACCCTTCCATAGGGAAGAGAAACTAAAATGTCCCCCACCCCCAGCATCAGCATCACTGGAACCTTGATGGTGAGGCTAATGGTCAGGTTCTGTGCAGACCTACTGCACCAGAACCTCTGGAGTAGGGCAGCACTGTTTTAACAAATCTTCCAACAACTTCCAGTGCGTTGGAAAACCCAAGAACTAGGGCTCTGTCTGGTTCAACCATATACTCAGTTATACATTGTCTTCATCAGGAAGCTCTGCCTGGGGAGTCTGGGCTGGGGCCTGAAAGTCTAGACACCACCAAGTATGAATCTAGAGGAAGCTGGAGCCCCCGCCTCCCCTAGCCACCCAATGATCCCTGCAGCCAATGGTCAGGCGAATGTCCAGTGAGCTCACCTGTAACCCGTAGATCAGTCTCCAGCCACTTGTCGGAGTACAAGTGGAACATTAACCCCCTACCACTAAATCTCAAGCAAGAAGATTGTGGCTGAGGTGTTCCAAAATGCTGCTAGGATTGGTCCAGGCGCAGCTCTTTAGAGAAAAAACGTGATGGCAAGAGCGCAGCTTTGGACTAATTGGTGCTCAGGACTGCTGTGATCGAGAGCAGGCTCTGGAGCAGAAACAATGGAAGCCAGTGGCCTCTAGATGGCGCCAAAGCTCCAGAGTCAGAATCAGCTTCTGCTTTGAAAGATTTGCCTCCGCCTCGTGTGTGTGTGGGGTGGGGGGGGGGGGGGGGGGAGGATGGAGGGACAAAAAGGTCAAAGGGTTGCATAGGGTCACATCTTTAACTAGAACTGAATTCTGCTCTTTCTACAGCTCATCTTGCCAGACCCCGGTTGGAGGGAGCAGAGAGAGGACTCTGGTAACCTAGGGAGGAAGTGTAGTATAGCAGGCGCAGGGCAAGTCTTTATTCACAGAGACATAAAGGAGAGACCACAGGAGGAATGAATTGCTACCCCTGTGATGAGCTCACTGCAGTGTAGGAGCATCCTCACAGCGGAGGATGCTCACTCTGATAGTTCATTCTCTCAGCTGCCCTGGGGAAGGCAGTTTGTATCTACAGCTGCAGATCCCCAAAGGGTGGATGCAGCCAGGATTTAGAATTCAGAACTCTGGGGCATGCTTTGTGGATTTCTTTTTTTTTTTTTTTTATTTATTATTATTTATACAATGTTCTGTCTGCATGTATGCCTGCAAGCCAGAAGAGGGCACCAGATCTCATTACAGATGGTTGTGAGCCACCATGTGGTTGCTGGGAATTGAACTCAGGACCTCTGGAAGAGCAGTCAGTGCTCTTAACCTCTGAGCCATCTCTCCAGCCCGCTTTGTGGATTTCTAAAACAGGACGCCCTCACAACGGTGGGACAGTACCTTGTCACCAAGCATGACCAATGTCTCTGCAGCAGAAGCCTATGTGATTTCTATTCAGTCTGGATCAAGTTTGGCCACCACAGGAATAACACCAAACTTAGAACCAAAGCTCTCAGGGTTAATGGGACGCATGTGCTGCAGGATGTCTTTCTGTATGCTGTGAATATGTGTTGCTCTGATTGGTTGACAAATAAAGCTGCATTGGCCTATGGCAGGGCAGGATGGAGCCAGGTGGGAAAATCCAAGAGAGAAAGAATGAAGAGATGCTGCTAGCTGCCGCCAGGAGAAGCAAGATGTAAAGTACTGGTAAGCCACAAGCCATATGGCAAGGTATAGATTTATAGAAATGGGTTAATTTAAGATATGAGAGCTAGCTAGCAAGAAGCCTACCATGGCCATAGCTTGAAAATAATACAAGCCTCTGTATGTTTACTTGGGTCTGAGCGGCTGCAGGATGAGGCAGGACACAGGAAAAGTTCCAACTACAATCATGGAAGAGGACATGGACCACAATGGCATCATTCATACTTTCTGAGGCCACCCAGGCAGGCAGGCACTAGGTCTGTTCCATTGTCAGGCTCCAAGCCCTGCAAGGTTGGGGGAGGGGAAGGTCCCACAGCTATGCTTACTTGTTGAAGTCCTGTTCATGGGAGTCAGGGGCCTGGATTGGGGTTCCCAGTGTCCCACTTTGGTCACAGGGTCCTGGACCTCAACCTTCACTGTAGAGTTCTGGAGAGCTCCTGTGAACAGAGACAGAGCTGTAGTATACACACACCGGTGGGCATCTCTTATCCAGAATGCTTGGGACCAGAAGCACTCCAATTCTAATAATTTCTCCTGGGATGTGGAATACTCATATAGACTTAATGAGGACTCTTGGAGATGAGACCCAAGTCTAAACATGGTGCATGGATTTCTTCTTTTTTTAGTTCATGTATTTACATTTTGTTGTGTGTGTACGAGCATGGGTATGTGTGCCCCAAGCATGTACAGAGGTCAGAGAACAGCTTGGATGAGTCAGTTCTCTACTTCCACCATGTGGCGGGAGAATCTCCAAGGAGACTGAACTCGGTCATCAGGTTTGGCAGCAGGTGCCCTTCTCCGCTAAGCCATCTTGGTGGCTCCATTCGTTTCTTACACATAAAGTGTGCAGGGAATTTTGTACAATGTTTTAAATGATTTGGGAAGTGAAATGAGGTTTGTATATCCAAGTGGAAGGGGCTGGGAAGGTCTTTTTACCCTCAAGGGTGCTGGCTAACTGGGTATTATATTTTGATCGCAACATATCCTATGCAGTCAGGCATGGAATCTTCCATCTGCGGCAGCATGCCGGCCAGCTGGCCGGCGCTCCAAAAGTTCTGGATCGGGAAGCATTTTGGATTTTGGATTAGGGATACTCAACCTGTCTTTGGACTTTCAAGGGGCCAGGATACGTGCTGCTGGTGGCCACGGCCAGAGGATTGGACTGGGCCTCCCGCACGCATCCTATCTGCTCACCTCCACAGGCAGGCAGGCTGCAGACCTGCACGGTGTCTGGCTTGACTCCCTCGCACTGCCCGAGGGCATTGGAGATGTTCCGGCACACCACCTGCCGCTGCTGGATGCCCTCTCCACAGGTGGCAGAGCACTGTACAGGAGCAGGAAGGTCAAGAGCCACAGTGCCAGGTGAGGGGGTGGGTAGGGGAGAGAGAAGAGGGGGCAGTGAACTCGGTGATGGAAAGGTCCAAGAAGGTTGCTATGCCTTCACTGGATCAGATGGGCACACAAGGCCTGTGGCCTCACCAGGACCCTGCTACCGTCATGACGGTTCTCCTGAGCCAGTATGAAGAGCACTACCCAAGCTTGGGACTCCCCAGCTCTTTCCACAACTTGAACTGTGAACACGACTCAGGAGATGTCTTCTAGGACCCCAATTCCATCGACCGCAACCTGGGTTCACCGTCTCCATCCACTCTATGCCCAAGTCTCAGCTATTTTATGTTTCACTCCGGTAGGCTCCTCTAATTCTGACTTACCATGCGACATGACCTGGGGCTTGCAGGAGCCTGGATTGTGGCACTTGCTGCCACCCTGGCTCCCTTTCCAACTCTGTGAACCAGGAGCCAGACCTTTAATAATGTTGGACTCCTTTTATCCAACGCTGATTTGCAAGGGTATGTCCTCAGGGTCTTCCTCCAAAGAGAAGCATCACTCAGGACAGAAGACAAACTGACCTCTGTGTGTAAGGCTATCAATGCCACTCACCTCCCTTCCTTGTATTTGACACACTCCTGACTGTGATAAACGGACTGAGGGGCACTGTGGGGGGCAGGGCAGGGTCCCTGGGAAAGTCCTATCACCCAAAGTGACTGGGTCACTTCTAGGCACTTCCTACAGCCTCTCCTAGCAGGATGGGGAAGAACTTGGACTGGGACCTGTGACTGTTGATCAAGACCCAAGTGTCACCGAACCAAAGGGAACCAGGGAACGCATAGCTCCTCCTCCCTTGTGCCTGTCACATCCTCTGTAACCCTTGCAGGTCCAGCTGTGGTGTGTAACACCTGTCACTGGCTTGTTTGTCTTGTTCCCTCACTGATCTGAAAGCTCCAGGAGGGTGAGAGGCCTGCCTGTCCAGTAATACTGGGCTTCCAGCCTTCCTTGAATAACATCCGGCATGCAGTTGTTGCTCAGTAAACATCTCTGGAACAGAAGGACGTGCCTTAATTTGTTCCTCTATGACATGGGGGGCATGAAGAGGTGAGAATGGAGGCATGGGTTTCCATGAAGACCCATCATGCACAGCGTGCCTGAGGGCCGCTCTCCTTCCATCTGAGAAATGTCAGCTCAACAGGTGGGCCCAGAAACTCCGCCCACGGGTATATCAGAACTCAGACTCCTCCCCTCCCCACCCACACCCACTTCTGTCCCACATGCTTCCACCCACTCTGCAAGGACCACTCACCTGGGACCAGGCTCCTGTCCGCCACTGGGCTGGGCAGGGCACACGGAGGCATGGCCTCTTGGCCTCTGGCCGGTTACCTAGGCAAGCCTTGGCTGGCATGGCCTTGCGGGTGCCGTTGGAGAGGGGCAATAGGCACTGTACTCCCCGGGTCTGCAGCCCCAGCTTCCCGCAGCTCCGGCTGCAGGCACCCCACTCTTCGGCCACCCACCTGGAGACAGACAGGACAGAGGTGAAGGGAGGTGGGACCATGGGGACACTTGCCCTTGGTGCTGCATCCCACCAGAGAAGGCACGTGCTTCAGAATGCTGCTGCCTCATCAGCCGGCCTCGGGGTGGTCCCTAGTCTCTCTTGCTGTCTCCTTGGGTAAGGGAAAGGTACCTATTTAAATCCTGGCCCCTCGAGTGTCCTTGGGCAGCCATGAACTCCACCAAGCCTCAGTTTCCCCCATCTTTTCATCGGGTTTGCTCTAGCACACCATAAGGAGTTCAGAGCTACCCTATGAAGGAACTGGACCGGATGCTGAGACTCCAGGGTGCCCGCAAACACACCAGAGCCACCCTTCTTGTGGCTGTCCCGTCTGGTGGGGACAAGAGTGTGACCAGGCTTGCTCTCAGCCCCTGCAGCTTTATAGCGGGGGTGGGGGAAGGGTCTGCAAACTTTTCAGCAGCAGAGCCAGGGCAACAGTGCAGGCATTCCGGGGGTAGAGGGAAGGGCCCCCCCCCCCCACTCCTTGTCTTTTAGCTAACAGGGGTGGGAGGCACATTCTCAAAGTCAACCCTTCTCTTTAAAGGACAAATCTTGCCATATGCCTGTAATCTCAGCACTTGGGAGGCTGAAGCAGGAGGACGGCTGAGAGTTGGAAGCCGGCCTGGGTACACACACACACACACACACACACACACACACACACACACACACACCCCAGAGACGGGAAAGGGAGAGAGAGAGTTGAAGAGGAGGGGGAGGGGAGAGGAAGGGGGGAGGCAGGTTGGGGAATAACCCCCCCATCCCCACCCCCAAATCCTAGACAGTTTGTCCCGCATGCACGCCTCATGGTCCCACTTGTAGGAAGTCCTATGAATGACAGCAGAAACTAACGGGGGCAGGCGCACAGACAGGGGGTGACACTCTGTCCTGGCCTGGGTGTGCACCAGGGGACCACAGTGGACTCATGCTGGGTATCAGTTCCCATCCCAGCCCCATCACATGTCCAGCCCTGGAGATCCCCCAGGCTCCAGGGTACCCCTGTTCCCAGCCAGGGGGCACTCCCAGGGAAGCAAGAATGTGAAGAAGACCCTTTGCAGCTTCCTACCAAGCAGCTACCCCCACCTCTCTGGGGGACCCCGGGCAGCACCACCCCAGGCTGAGGGGACCAACCTGGAGTTCTTAAGCCCAGCTCAAGTACCTCCCTTCACACTCTTCTGAATAATCCTAAGAACATGACCTTGGGCTCTGAGGATCAGCCTGTTCCTCAGGCTAGGGAATCTTAACCAGGGATTAGCCATGGGGGGGGGGGGGGGGCTGGTCCCCCCAGAGACCAGGTAGGGAGAAGGCGGTAGATAGCATTCTTGCCCGAGATAGGAACCCCCTGCCTCACCAAGAGAAAGCCCGGGCCCTATCAGTGAAAGAATGCTAGTTGGTGCAAGCCAGGTGGTACCTTCCTCTTTGGGGCAGTGGAGATTGGCAATGACGAAACCCAACAGGGATGGCTGGCCATGGAGGGTGGCCACAGTGCCAGCCGTGTGTCCCCCAAGGACCTGGCCGCAGGCTTTGTGCATGAGAAAGTGCCGGCGTAGCAACTCTAGCTACCTTCCCCGTGGGCCAGGGTGGAGAGAGGCAGGGATCCGAACACTCACGTGGGCTGGGGACACGGGTACTGGTTACATCGCCGTCGAATAGGCTTGGGCCTCTTTTTGTGGTCACACAGGTGCCGCTGCACCATGTGGTGGTCCCGGCGGCGCCGGCAGCCGTATTTGGTGAACTGGATTCCTGCAAAGGTCGGGCTGCTGTGGGCCAGCTGGAGGCCTTCTGTTCCAGGCCTCCTGCCCTGTTCTTGTCCTCGGTGGGGGGGGGGGGGGGGGGGGGGGGACGACTTTCTAGAGAGCCTCTTTCCCTCCTTGTCCCAGCACTCTGTCCTACACAAGTGACTTTCTATAGGACTCTTCCCTCTGCCAGCCCTGGTGAAGGGAGAAGTGGCCTCGGACAGCTGAAGAGACAACCCGCCCTGCAGCCTGCTCTTGCAGGCCCCGGCTCCACCCAAAGCCCTGCTCAGAAAGGCTTCCAGGCATGGGAGATCATCAAGGAGACACTGAGACAAGAACAGTGGCACCTCAGATGGAGACGCTTCTTCCTGACTCCCCCACCCAGAATCTCTGGTCTGTTCTCCCCCACCCCCCGCCGCTCCCCACAAGGAACTGTAGGACCCCCACAGCGGATACCTCCTCCACAGGTCTTGCTGCAAGGAGACCAGCTCTTGAGAGCCCACTCATAGGTGTCCGTCTCTTCCAGGAGCACGTTATTGCTGCCGATGAGGGGCAGCAGGTCCTCGTGGATGACGTACTTGTAGGCCAGGCTACCTCGGGGCTTACCCTTCACCGCCGGAGGCAGCACCTGAGTGGGGAGACAAGGAGGAGGCAGCGCAGGGCCCGAGACAGAAGCAGGTCCAGTGGGGTCCACAGGGGTCAGGAACACGCTGGGGACTAGGCAGAGGGCCTGGGACATGCCTCGGTGATATTGTAGCCTACAAACCCTCCCCATGAGGGAGTCTAATCACAGATTGACCGGGGTGGGGAGTGGGGGAATCACAGCCACCACCTGAAGCAGAAACAGCCACTGCCCACAGCCACCGGGTTCCAAAGTGAGCTCTTGGGTTTGTAATTGAGACACGATCCACAGCATGTAATCTGCCCTATTCAAGCGTGCAACCCAGCAATTGTTCAGTGCTTAGCTGGGGGCAGGCAGGACATTCACAAACTCCCATTCCCCAGAATAAGCACCTGCTATGTACCCAAGAGCAGCCAGGACCAGGCCATGAGCCATTTTCTCTCCCATAGACCTGCACCCTGAGGAGAGGAAGACCCTAGGCCCAAGTCTTTGGCATCCAAACTGTCTGACTTAAGCAGGCCACCAGTGAGCAACCTATTATTTTTAACTTTTAAAAAAAATTTATTCTTTGTGTCTTTCACATCATGCATCCCGATCCCACCCATCTCCCATCCCCTCGAATCTGCCCTCTGCCCCTGCAACCTCTCCCACCCCAAAATAAAACAATTTTTTTTTAAAAAAAAAAAAAAAAAGGAAGAGAGGGAAAATCTCGGCATGGAAGCTGCAGTGTGACACAGTGAATCACGCCGTAAACCCCTTTATCCATACATCTTTACATGCAGGCGTTAACTGCAAAGAATCTTGGTTGGGTTTGAGGCCCCTGCCTGGTCTCTGCTATGGTATTGACACTGGGTCCTCACTGGGACTCTTCCTGGACGTCCTGTTGCTGCCCTGTGTCATGGAGAGCCTATAGCCCTGGGTCTGCAGGACTCCCCCACCCAACACACACACCTGTGCTCCAGCAGATCACAGGTGGGGTGGACATTGGGGCGGGCCAATGCTTAACCCTGGTTCTGGGCCTGGGGAGTTGCAGGGTTGGCCAGCCCTCCATCTCTCCCCTGTCTTCACCAGGGTGAGCTCTCCAGCATTGCCCTGGGGAGTTCACCCCTTGCAGTGATGAGCAAGGGGCGGGGGCCGGTTCTCCAGCTTTCACATCCTCTGGGTCGGCTCTCCCACACCTACACCTTCATGGCCAGCTCTACCGTGTTGCTCAATTGAGGTGTAGGGGCCATGCTTCCAAGTGCTGCAGTTGATGAGGGACAGGGACAGCTCTCTCGCTCTTAGGATGTCAGGGCCAGCTCTCCCACCCGAGGCAGGGGAGTGGGGTGGGGGTGGATCTCTCCCCACGCATGCAGCCACATGACAGATGAGTAATGGGGACAGTGAGCAACCTTTTTAACTTTCCCTCTTTCCTCCTCCTCCTCTCCACAGCTCCCCTCACCCTCCCTACCCCCCCCCATGGGGCGTTTACCCAACCACCCCCACAGTTCCCCAGGGTTTTCTTGAGTGCGAGCAGCAGGAAATATTAGATAGAAGGATTTATTGCGGAGATAAACAGATAGAAAACACAGGATAGCCTCGAGAGGGCCTGGAACCTATTCCAAAGGGCCCCACTGTCTCTGCCCCAGGGTATTTATAGAGACGCCAAGGGGTGGAGCAAAAGACCTCCTCCCCCAGCACAGCCAAGTGCAGACCATCCCAGACACCTGCACTCAGGCCCGTGGTTCTAATCATCCTCTATGCGGACCTGCTGGGTAAAGCCACGAGAAACCTGAGAACGGGCTCCCCCCCCGCCCGCCCCCCCCGCCTCCCCCCCCCCCCCCCCCCCCCGCCTTCTTCTTGGGTCTCACATTGTCCGCATTGGCTTTGAACTCATTGTGTAGACCAGGCATGGAGGTTCACCCCTGCACTCTAGGCAAGCATTCTACCAACAGAGCGACATCTCCCCCTTTCCCTTCCTCTCTCTTTCCTCTTCCTTTTTTTAAAGACAAAGACTCATGTATAGTCCCACCTCCCAAGTGCTGGGATTACAGATGTGTGCCACCATGCCTGGTCATTTTTACTTCTTACATTTTTTTTTTTTAATTATTTGAGGGCAGGACTGGGGAAGGGGTGAACGCCATGGTGTGAGTATGAAAGTCAGAGGACAGGCTGAGGAAGTGGGTTCTCCCTCTCCACCATGTGAACCCTGGACATTGAGGTCAGGTCATCAGGCTTGGCATTGGCACCAAGTACCCTGAAGCAGGAACTATCTTGATGGCCTCTCTTCTTACTTCTGGACAATGTCCTTTAATGCACAAATGTCTCCAAGTTGATGAAGTCTAATGCTGCACATCTGTTCCTTTTGTTGCTTATCTTGTTACTGAAATTTTACCCATTTCCTTCTAAGTGTTACAGGCTACTATTCTTTTTTTGTTGTTGTTGTTTATTATTTTTTTTTTGAGACATGGTTTCTCTGTGTAGTTTTGGAGCCTGTCCTGGATCTCTCTCTGTAGATCAGGCTGGCCTCAAACTCACAGAGATCCACCTGCCTCTGCCTCCTGAGTGCTGGGATTAAAGGCGTGCACCGCCGCCACCCTCCCCCCCCCCCCCCCCCGACATCAGGCTACCACTCTTCCATTTAGGCCTTTCGTCTACCTTGAGTTGTTTGTATAGGGCATGAGGTAGGACCTCAACCTTTTATATGTGAAGGTCGTGTTGTCTCAGCATCATTGTTGAGACTATTTGTCCCCTGAGCAAACATCGGCTGGCTCCAGACACACGGGTGGCCACAAACACAAGGTGAATGGAAAGGATGCGTTAGAGGAAACTCTCGCACCAACAGCCTCAGAATTTGCCCTCCAGAACACCACTGACCACTGAGGGCAATACCAAGAACACAGCCCATCCAAGGCCCCTGTTGTCAGCTCAGGCTGATGACATGGGCACAAAGCTTTTGTAAACCAGTCTGAGGAATTACCAATTCCTGCTCCATGAGCCCTGGCGAAGGAATAGGAGAGGAAGTATGGGCAGCAATGGACCTCAGTTAGGATAAGGGCCCTGTCCCTTTCTCAGAGGCTGGCACTACCACAGTCTCTTCAGGCCAGCTGCCTTAAAGGTCCAAAAACCACCTTAATCCTCACACATATATTACCCTGCCACAGTGCACGTGGATGCTGAGGGATACTGTGAGGTCACAGGAACTAGCCCTAGCTTCACAGAGCTGCCCTTCCAGACCCCATTTCTCACCCCATGCAAAGGAACATATAACTGCTGCATTCGGCCTCCCACACACCTGGGGGAGGCCATTTTAAAATGTACGGACCAGAAAGTGGGCACAAAGGACAGGAAAGGCCACCGCAGGCAAGGAGGCTCACCAGGACGTCGATGGCTTCAGGCAGGGGCCCACTGGTCTTCAGGCTGTCCTTGGTGTCCTCTGCTGCATGCTCCCACTCCAGGCCCAACGCAGTGAAGGTCCTGGTAGAGGCCTCCTTGCCCTTGGGGCTGAGGATGAAGTTTCCAGTCACGTGGTTCTTCACCGCTGGCCAGGGGAGAGGGGCAGAGTTTTCTATTCCCCTCTACAGAGGCCCGTGACTCTGACATTCAAGGCTTTCCCAGGAGGCCCCTCCTCAGGTTCCTCGTCTACTTATCCCCCTGAGCTCTCCCATCAGGACCACCTAGAAGCCCGCCGCAAACCTGTGCTGCCTCTGGGCCCAGATGCACACCACCGATCCTGTATCACACCCGCCCCCCCCCCCCCCCGCCTTCTTCCACACTGATGAATGGCTACCTATAGTTATGACTCAGTTTCACGTTTTTCCCAAAGCCCAGCCCTCAGGGATGCTGCTGTCCCTGTAGGATCTACAGCAAAGCCCAGAGCACAGGAGAAGAAGCTAATCACAGGGAAGTCCCTTTGTCCCTGGGCAGCCTCAGTTTGCCCTTCTCGAAAGTGAGACTGATCACTGTAGCCAGCACCCAGGGTTGCTTGCCCAGGTAGATCTTACAGTAGTCCCCAACACACACACACACACACACACACACACACACACCGTCCCAGGCAATGAAAGGAACTCATGTATGTAACAGCCTCCGCAACCTGTGATGGGTACCAGTTGGCTGCCACTGTAGCCACAGAAATGACAAAGGCATGATGCTGGTGTTGGGAGATTAGGACCCAGGATAGTTCTGCCTCATCCCCCACGAGTGACTAAGAACCCAGAGAAGGCCCTGAACAGACCCCAGGCCTCAGTTTCCCCGTGGCCACTGTGTCCATGTGTTATGGCCTTTCGGGTGCCCTCAAAGCCGAAGAGTGGGAGCCACCGCAGCTGTGACAGAAAGAGACACAGCTCCAGGAAGCTTGAAGCGTCGCATATTACCGATAATAATCTACAACGATGATGATTGGGAACATTTTTTTGTGATAGCTGAGCTTGCCAAGAAACATGGCATTTCATGTTCGTGTTTGTGATGGATCAATGGAAAGCGGCAGGACTCGGTAGCCCAAGAGGCTGGAAAGGCCTCTGGGACGTGCCACGGAGATAGCCTGCATACTCTCCACGAGGGGGTCTGAGCAGAGACTGACATTGGAAAACACAGGCACCCCCTGAAGCAGAAGCAGTCGCTGCCCGCAGCTGCCAGGCTGGGTTCCAAACTGAGCTCTTGGGTTTGCAACTGAGATGCAAATCCACACCGTGTCATTCACCCTATTAAAGTGTGCAACCCAGGGATGGTTGAACACACTCAATCATCATCACTGTGTAAGCTCAGAAGACTTCCGCCACCCCAAAAGAACCCCAGCACACATAAGCATTCATCCCACCTCTCCCACACACAGGCCCGACCACCACGGGTCTATGGGATGTTTTTATAGAGGAATCTCTTTTGGATATGCTTATTTCTTTGACTGCCAATTTCATTTCAGTAAAAACCAAACCAAACCAAATAAAAACATCTTTCATATTGCATTAATGTCTTAACAGGAACTTTAAAAATTGAAAAAAAAAGTTTGTTATTATCGGTGAGGGGAGCATGCGTGATGACCTACGTGTGGGGGTTCAAAGGTCAACTTTGTGGCGTCAGTTTTCTTCCACCTTTTAGCATGGTTTTCAGGGATCAAACTCAGCTTGTGTGGCAAGAGCCTTTACCTGTGGAGCCATCTTAGTGGCTCTTAACTTGGATGTTTATTTTATTCTATTTTGAGAGAGGATCTCACTATGTACTCCTGGCTAGCCTGGAGTTTGCTATGTAAAGCAGGCTGGCCTTGAACTCACAGAGATCCGTCTGCTTCTGTCTTCCGGGGATTGGGATAAAAGGTGTGCATCACTACCAACACTAAGTCTGGCCTTGACTTTTCAAGTTTAATCTGTTGGGGGGTTCTAGTTTGTGTGTGTGTGTGTGTGTGTGTGTGTGTGTGTGTGTGTGTGTGTGTGTACATGCACGCGTTTTTCATATATGTACATGTTTGTGTATGTGTGTATAGGTGTGTGTGGTGTAACGTGGAGGGCAGGAATCTTCATCACAGTCTTCCTCAATCACTCTACCATATTCATCTCTTTACTTATTTTTGAGACAGGGTCTCTAGATGAACACGAGGCTCAGAAATTTAGCTGGGTCCGGCTCCAAGGATCTTTGGCGACGACTGCTCGAATGCTATGATTATAGGCACACACGGCTACGCTGGCTTTGATGTGGGTCCTGGGGGGCCAAGCCCAGGTCCTCGTGCGTACATGACAAACACTCTGCCCACTGAGCCATCTTCCCAGCCTCCGGGGATCTAATCTTCCATGTGTCTTGGCTTCGGGTTTGTATAACCATTACACCTTGTTTAGTAACTGTTTAAACAGCATTAGAATAGGGACACAGGGCCCATACGGTGGACTGCAGAAATGGTTGTCCACTCCTCTTAGCCCTGTGATTTTACCACTTCCTCCATGAGGAAACACGGAGTGTGTTTCTAACCACTGAACCCAGGACTTTGGCCACATGACTTGCGTCGATGCAATGTCAGGAAACAGTGTGGAGGCTTGCAGAGAGCTTCCACCCTGGGGGCCCCACCTCCTCTTGCTACTGCAGATGGCCACGGCACAAATGTCCAATGGATATCCCCGGATTTGCTTGTTGGGGTCAATCATGGCTCAGCCGACCTGCCGATACCATCTCCACACTTCCTAGGCCAAGTAGCTCCCAACCGACCCACCAGCTGCCAGTGTTTACCTGTCGGGGTTCAGGCACCCAGTAGAAGAACCACCCAGCGGAGCCAGCCATGGCCATGGCCACAGAACCGAGAGCCTGTAACAACTGTTGCTTCTCACCCTTACATTCTCGGTGGTGTGCCATGAAGCAGGAGTTGCCTGAGTCTTCTGTGAACCTGACTTTTCTTTAAAAGCCGTCTGCTCACATAAGAAATTCAAACAGTAGTTGTTCTTCGTGGGAAGAAGCCAGCCCTGAGGGATGGGCGTGTTTACTACATTCCCCTTTAGCCCTTCAGGAATTTGAGCTATGGGACAGTTGATCCATTCAGCATCAATTTAAAAATTAAAAAGGGTTGTCCGCCTTTATCTAAGTCTGTGAGGTCCCACCTGCTCTCTGGGACCCGCCCTGTCCTCCCCCATACTCGGCACTCACCAATGCGGTGGGGCGCCTTCTCCAGCAACTCGATCTGAATGTGCCTGGCACCTGCCGGGATCTGGACCTGTTTGAGAGCGGCTGCCACCCAGGGGCATCCAGAAAAGCAAAGAGAGTCCTGAGAGGGTGGCTCCCTGCTCGGCACCCCACCCACCTCACCCCGCTCCACCGGGAACACTAGAACTTCTCAATCGTGGAAACTTTCAGAACAAGGAAACATCCTTGGCTGGAAATTAGGGGAGGGCACATGAGATGCTGTGGCTCCAAGCGCCCTCTAAGGGTCACTCCTGTGTGCACGGATGTCTGCACAGGTAAGTTGCTTTTATTTCCCATTCACGGCCTCCTTTTCTGCTTTCTTTTCTAATCCTCCCTTCCTCTCTTTGCTCCCTAAGTGACTGCAGGGATGCAGATGACACAAGCCGTGAAGACCCTACATGGCTCTCTTGGGCCGACCCAAGGCTTGGAAACAAGCCTCTCTTGGTCACCAGCCTTCCCCTGCTTCAAAGGGCGAGGCAAAGCTGTAAACTCCTCCAAGAGGACCAGACTTACTCCACTCAGACGCATAAAGGAGTACTGGTCCTCTTCTCGAGAGAGTTTGGTAAGGATGGAGGTGGAAATGAAAGAACTCAGGGTACCAGGAACTCAAAGCAGAAAACGTCCCAGAATTTGTTTTTCAAATGAGAATAGAAAATAAGCAGTCCAGTCATGGCCATGCCGTTAATACTGTCTGGCTCCTCACTCCTACCAAAAGGTCCAGGGTCAAAGAGATGGCTGTGTTAACATTCTGATCCTGCCCTTTGGTGCCACCCTGTGTCCTGACTTAAAAAGTCTCTTTTAAAGGGAAAACTCCATCTATTTCCCACCTCCCCTCTTTCTCTCTGTCTGTCTCCCTCTTTTTGCCTCTCTGCCTCTTTATCTCTCTATTATAATAAACTCTCCATGTGGATGCAGTCTGGGTTGTGTATTACTGGCGTGCATCTGCCCAGCATGTTTTCCTGCACTGGCGAGATACCCTTGGGGTCCCCCTTCCCAAATGCACACATAATAATAAATCATAACAGGCTGAGTATATGTCCTCCCATGTTACCTAACCAAAAAAATAAATAAATACATAAATAAATAAATAAAAAGAAAAGAAGAGAAAAAGAAAAAGAAAAAACTTTTTGAGATTCTGGGCTCCGAGTCTATGCTAGCATGCCAGAAGAGAAGGGACCAACCACATGCAGCCTGAGAAGGTCAGCAGACAGCTTCCAGAACCCTCCCCTCCCCAGCGCTGGTCAAGGAGCCAGCCATGCTTACCTGCCTGCTTGGAGGCCTTCCCCAGCGTCCCCTTCACGGTCCTGCAGTGAGAGTTGTCTCCTCCGCAGACACCGCATCTGTCATCCGCCTTCATGGATCCCACTTCTTTGTCACAACCAAAGGGCTGGGGGCGGAGGTGAGGTCAGTAGAAGGAGGCTCCCCTGCCTCCACCTCGAAGGCCCCCTGGCTCCCTCCTGAGACCCCTGGCCCTGGCCAAAGGGGGAACCCTGGCACATGAGAACTCCCCCAACATTCACCCTGTGACCCAGGTGAAGTCTTCACCCAGTGTGGTAATTAATGAGGTCTCAAATCACCTCTTTTGCCTAATGGTGTAGGACAGAAAGGGACCCCTCTGCAGCAGCCCTAGCCGTCCTTAAGTGTGGCAGGTGAGCCATACCTATCATCCGGGGAACCAAAACATGGCAGGGCAGCCAGCCCTCCAGGCCCCGTGAGCCAGCAGAGCATAAACAGCTGGCGGGGGTACCCACCACACACTCGCCGCGTGCACAGACACTGTACGGGTCCCGGTAGCTGCAGCGCGTTCCATCATGGACCACTTGGTTCATAAATACCACATCTCCAGTGTCTGCAGACTGGCAAATGAGCTCACATTTCTGAGCATCTGTGAGGAGAGAGACACTGCTAAGCCCCACTGGGCTGGCAGAAAGTGGGATGGTTCAGGACGCCGTCAGCATGTGGTTCAGCCAAGGAGTCAAGGGCCAGCTCCGGGGCAGTGGTAGGAGCTCTGTCTGAGGGATTGGGTTAAGAGCCTTGCTGTGGCATTCATGGATTGGTCTTGTGACCTGAGACAAATGTCTCCAGACTTTGAGCCTCAGTTCCCTTATTTTCACGACTGCTGATCAGTTAAAATATATTATCAGTTGACCGAGAAAAATCGATCGACAAACTACCAATCGTAAGCCAACACCTAGGGCTAGAGAAACAGCTCAGTGGTTAAGAATGCTTGCTGCTCTTCCAGCGGACTTGAGTTCAAGTCTCAGCACCCAGGAGGGGCCGCTAACAACCAACTGTGATTCAAGCTCCAGGAGATCTGACACCTTCTGGTCTCTGTGGGTACCTGCATGCACATTTGCTCTCATGAGTGTGTGCACACACAACTAAAAATAAATCACTCACACACACACACACACACACACACACACACACACACACATACACACATATATGAACCAACCTAACAGATGCTCACTGGATACCAGATCCTCCCAAAGCCCTTTCACTCCTTTGAGAAAAAATAGTAAATGCTTGTCATGATGACTTGATTCATCTCATTTCAACATCTGTGTGAGGAAGGTTCTAGCATTATGGGACGTACCCAATGATTTTAATTAGGGTCACCTATGTGAACATCAGTGAGGGGTTACTTAGAAGAGCATGGACAACTTACAGTTTTACACACACACACACACACACACACACACACACACACACACACACACGAGAAGATAACCTTAGTGTTTGCTCAGGAGCTATCACTTTGGGTTTGTATGTATGTGTGTGTGTGTGTTGTATGCACATGTATGAATGTATAAGCGTGTGGAGGCCAGAGGTGGATGGGCATTGGGTATCTTCCTCAATCATTCACTATCTAATAACGAGAGACAGAGTCTCTTATGGAACCTGAGATTCACTGATTTGGCTGGGATCGGTCTGTCCCTGCCCATGCCCACCAGTACTGGGATTATAGATGTGTGCCACTGTGCCCAGCTTTTATGTGGGTCCCGGGGATCCAAACTCAGGTCCTCATGATTATGAGCCCTTTATTTACAGAGTAACTTCCTAGTCCCTACCTTGTTCTTTGAGGCAGGGTCTCTCATTGGATCTGGAGTGTGTTAGCTGGCTAGTAAACCCCAGAAACTCAACTTTCTCTGTCTCTCTTGTGATGGGATTACAAGTATATGCCACTGTGCCTAGATTGATCTGTTTTAAACAAATTTAAAGGCTTATTTTTAATTTTTTATGTATATAGGTATTTTTGCCTGCATGTATATCTGTGAACCATGTGTGTGCAGTGCCCATGGAGGCCAGAAGAGGGCGTCAGATCCCCCGGAACTGGAGTTACAGACTGATGTTAGCCATCACGTGGTGCTGGGAATCAAACCGGAGTCCTCTGGAAGAGCAGTTGGTGTTCTCAACCTCTGAGCCCTCTCTACAGCCCCAGACTTATCTTTTTATATGGAATCACTCAACTTCACATATTTGCAGGGTGAACGCTTTACAACTACATTACCTTCTCGGCTCTCCCACCCCCAGCGGTACTGGGAATCAAACCTAGGGTCTCATGCATGCTAAGCAAGTGCTCTGCCACTGAGCCACACCCCAGCCCGGGCTCTACCACCACAGAAGAAACACAGGACTAGAGGCTGAGTAATTTGCTTAAGGCCACACATGGAGTGGTTCAGCCAAGCTTCTAACTGCAAAGTCACTTGGGTCTCACAGCTGGGCACACCAGTAGGAGAACTGTATGTCCCAAAATGAAATGTTCCCTTCTCTCTCCCGGCTGATAATGTCCTAAAAAGGAAGTTGCAGCGAACATATAAACACCCGCTGTGTTTCTTAGAAAAAGTGAGGTTGGGGGCTTAGCTCACTTCCTGGAATTGGTCTAAAGTCCTGGGAAGGCCTGAGGTCCAGCTGTCCCTTGACCTTCTTGCCCTGCCTGCCCAGGCCTCTCTGCTTCTTTGCCTTCCCAGTGGACCTGCAAAGCACTCAAAGCCAGCCCTTGCCGAAGCCCATCCTGAGGAGCCCTGCAGTGTCTGCTCCTCTCTCCAAGCTCCCGAGGCACCAGGTCACTTCTTGCTTCCCCTCACACAGGACTCCCGTTTGAAGTTACAACATCTAAGGCCACTTTAGAGAGCCTGCTTGAGAGTCAGATTCCTGACGGGGTCTGAGTCTGAGAGCTTTACCTCCAGATGAGAAGCAGGGTCCTTCCAGTGGACCCGGCAGCCAGGTGTCTGGGCAGCTGACAGAGGCAAAGGAGTGGTGAGCTCCCCAGAGTGGGAGGAATCCAAGCAGAAGGAAGCTCTTGCCCACTCCTGCAAGGGCACTGCTGGGAAGTCTGGGACTGGCAGGACTTCAGAAAGTCCCTTGCAACCTGAGGAATCTGGCACAAGCCGGAGCCCGGGAGCTTAGGGTGCTGAGGTCAATTTGGGCTTGGGAAGCCACTGTTCTCACAGGAGCTGCCTGGGGTCCAAGAGGTGGGAATCACTGCAGCAGCAAAGCCCTTCCAGCTTCAGGCCAGAAGAGCCAGGCAGCCTGGCCATTCCTGGTCTAATGCTGCAGTAGGAGCTCTCACTGGGCATCCATGAAATGACTGGGTGTTGGCTTTAGTGTGGTCCTAGCATCAGACCTTCCAAGTCCTAAGGCCTGTGCCTACCCTAGGGCAGCCTGGGGTGGAGGAACATGAGGATCCCCCAGGTTCCCATCCTCCTGCCTTTCAAATGACCTTCAGCAACTGCCAAAGGGATGCCTGACCCATGACACCTAGAAGCCGGCCTGTAGTGGGTTGAAGCTCTTCTGGACACGGTACTATACCCCTAAACTCCAAGAAGTGAACTAAGCCTTTGCTTCTCTCTCTCTCTCTCTCTCTCTTTCCCTCCCTTCCTCCCTCCCTCCCTCTCATTTGTTGAGACAGTGTCTCACTATATATCTCTGACTGGCTTAGAACTCACCTTATAGACCAGGCTGGCCTTCAACTCACAGAGATCTGCCTGCCTCTGACTCCTGAGTGCTAAGATTAAAGGTGTGCACCACCACGTCTGGCTAACTTAAATGTTCTCTGTAGTCTCCTTTCTAGGGCAGGTGCCTTTTTATACAGGGAATGAAAAACATCTGAATGACACCTGCTATCAGCATTCCCGGAGAGGAGTCCCCGCCTCCGCAAGCTGCTTGCCTTATATGCGCACCAACCAGGGATGGCCTCAATGGTGATGGTGACTCCAAAAGTATGGGGCACACAGGCCTACCCAAAGGACTTGAGTGAGTCTGCCCACCAGCTCCCTGTGGCAACCCCAGGTCCTCGTGCCTCCAGAGGTGGGCGAATGGGAACGGGCACATGCTCAAGAGCCGGGCAGAGCAGGGCCACTCACCATCCTCAGGCTCATAGGGCAGCCAGCTGTGCTTGGCATTCTGGTGGACATAGTAGGAGTTGCGCTTGGCACACTGCTGGGCCCGGAAGTCCTCGTAGGGCCCAGGACAGTCCTCACTGTTGCAGATCTGGTACTCAAACATGGGCCCGGTGCATGGGCGGCCTCCGTAGGCTGGACTGCAGTGGCAGAGAGACCAGGTGATCCGGCTGGCCGGGAAGGCTGGGAAGAGGGAAGCTTCCTACATGAGACCTGGGACCGCTCAGTCCGACAGTAGCTGCGGGAGACCGCCACTGGCTTATCAGCTCAGCGGTGACCTGCCGTGTTGGGTCTGCTGAACCCGCGACCTTCTGAACCGACTTTCTCCTCCTTTCCTTCTTTTCTTTCTGAGACAGGGTCTCCTATAACTCGGGCTGGCTTGGACTATGTAGCTGAGGATGGCTTTGACCTTTGGATTGTCTAGCCGCCACCTCCTGAGTGTTGGGATTACAGGTGTTTGCCGTCATACCCAATTTATACGATGCTAGGGATTGAACCCAGGGCCGCACGCTGGCCAAGCACTCCACCAAGGGAGCTACAACACTGCCCTCTCCAGATCCCTTTCCTCCCTATTTTACCTGTAGGAAGAGAGCTAGCTCCTATCTCCCTGTGGGGGGAGGAGGGGGGGTCTCAGGCGACAGAATGACAGACACGGGCTGGCTAGCCCTCTCCGCCAGTGAGTCATCAGCCTTCCTTATTCTTTTAATCCCTCCAGTCCTTATGCAGACTGCGTAGACGCTCAGTCCAGGACAAGGAGTTCTCCCCATCCACTTCCGTTTCATAGCATGATAGACGAAGGAGCAGCCAAAGAGACTTGGATTTTGAACCAGAAGAGCTGATATCCTAGTCCCGACCCTGTGGCCTTGGCTCACTCACACTTGGCTTTGCTGTGCCTTGATTTCCCCCTTGAAACATTGGGGCCATCATAACTCACCTCCTGTCATGACAAAACGGAGACTCGGCCCTGCTCCGAGACACTAGGAGAACTCCAGGCTTACCACATGAGCACATAGCATCCTGCATACAGTGCTCAGAACACTTCCTAAAGACAGCAGCGGTTGCCTCTGGAGTACTTAACCCTCACTCCAGTGATGACCACACATATTATTCAATGTAAGCCGCATAAGACAAAAAGCTATTACTACAGGAAAGTTAATAAACGGTAACTCTGAACAAGGGCATAACTTGCTGGCAAAGACAAGGTACTTTATCTGAATAGACACCACTATGCCTTCCTACCACCTTGGCTGTGGGACAACAGAGAAGAACTGCAAGGTAGACCATGGTGATTATCCTTCCTATAAGGTCAGCATGGTTAACAGACACTGGTTGCTCGGGTAGCGGTGAGCCGCCAATCCTTGTAGGTAGACAGTGCATCACCCATAACCACTATTTCTTTTTTTTTCTTTCTGCATGTACGCGAGTGTGTGGTGTGCACGTGAGTATGCATGGTTACAAGTATATGGATGTATACATGTGCGCATGGTGGCCCAAAGCTGACATTGGGCATCCGCCTCACTTTCCACTGTATTCATTGAGATAGGATCTCATGTTGAAACTGGAGCTCACTGGTTCTGGCTAGTCCTCCCAGCCAGTTAGCCCTGAGGGATCGATCCTGCATCCCCATCTCTCAAGTGCTAGGATGATGAGCAGCCATCACACTTGCCCAACTTTTATGTAGGTTTTAGGGAATCTGAACTCCAGTTTAGCTTGCATGACAAGCACTTTATCTGTTGGATTATGGACTTTGTACCTCTGGATTATGAAGACTGCTTCTAAGGGCTCTGGACGTACTGGGGTCCTGTGACCTATTATTATGACTGTTCATTATGTCACTTGGTGCAAGGAGGGCCTGAGCCAGGCCCTGTGGAAGTCCCTAGACCAGTGAACTCACGGCAGCTTCACTCAGTTTACCCATTCCTCATTAGGACATCCTAAGCAAGCAGTTTCATCCTCGGAGATGAGAAGTGTGGGGAGCTGGGGCTAGGACGTTCCACAGCTGTGAAGTAGGGGAGGGGATCCTACCCAGATGACAAAAAGAGACAGACAAGTATCTCCCAGAACACTGAGGTGGGGAATGGAGACGTTGGTATTAAACAGAAGTTTAAAAAAAAAAAAAGGAAAGGAAAGTTTGTGTATGTGGCAGAAAGCAAATTTGATAGCGTGTAATACATTGAAACTAGTGTTTACTCAAAGTTTGGCCAAAAGATTGAGGTGGTGGGAGGTCTTGAGGACCTAGCAGAGTCCTGGGCCCACCCAGTCTCTCTGGGGATGCCTCTGGATATGACAACTTGAAACACTGTCTCAGGCACATCTCTGGAAGTCAGACCCGGTGGCTCACTAGTAAATGCAGGTAGGAGAGACCTGCCTTGCTCCAACATTCTGGGTTCTTATCCAGGGAACACGTGACTGTCTGTAGGGGTCACTGTCCTGTACCCTCTCTACAACCTTCCCCTCTGAGTGTCTCTCCTCTGGGCAGGTGGTATCTCCTGCCCTGCCCACCTCAACCCAGGCCACTGCACTCACGGAGGGTTGTCGCAGCTCCGGCTTCGGGATCTCACTCCACCTCCGCATGACCGAGAACATGAACCAAACTTGGTCCAGGAACTCCAGCCTCCGTCCTGGCCGTAGGTTTGCTCTGGTGACTTCCAGATACAGTGACCTTTGAAGCACCACTGGGGTAGAGCAGAGGGCATGTGGTCACCTTGGGCCACCACAGTGGAGCCTGCAGCAAGGGTGTTCCTTGGGGCACACAGCATAGCTGATAGAGACCGGGGCAAGCCCAGAGAGAGCCATTTACAGATTAGCCTGGAGAATGAACTGGACAGGACCCCAGTCCTACTGGAATATGGGTAGCTGAGCTACCTCAGACAAAAGCCATCTTTCTTCAATGCCCTGCTGGTAACAGCACCGCGCAGTCAACAGCAGCACACACAGCCCTCCAGAAACAGCCAACATTTATTCCTCAATGAGATTTGTGAAGACAATGAATGGGCCGCTAGTTCATGCATCACCCTGTCTGGTGTGGGCGGGGCTGAGAGGGAGGGAAAGATAACTGTCTCATCCTGTCTGAAGCTCACCTGTACCCTGAAATGTCCCCCCGAGGGACCATAAACATGCACGAGCCAAGTCTGTGGCCTGTAGCCAAGGGATAGATGCAGGGAATCTGAAGAGCCCGGGTTTGAATCCCAGCTCAGCTGTTACGAGACGTGTGAGGCCTCTTCACTTTACTGGACCTCGGTTTGCTCATTGGTTAAACTGCTCTAAGAACTGCAGGCACAGGGCTGGGTACTCAGACAAGCCTAAGGTGATGCTCTTCTAGTTTATCACGGGGTATTGGGAAAAATACAGCATTTTCTGGATGCCTCTCAAGAGATGAACTGCTCATCTTGGAGTCCCCTAGTGGGACTTAACCTAGACACCCGAGCTTCAACCTGAACAGTTCAGTCAATCTTTTAGGGTCCTAAGATGTTTAGAGTGAGGGGCGACTTACACCCCACAGGAGCCACTCATCTGGAGTGTACAATTCAACGTCTTCATAATCCAGAGGTGCACATCCTTCACCACAGCCAAACTTTAGAACGGTTTCACCACCGCCCCCAAAACTCCTCTGCACCCCTCTGTGGTCACCTCCTAGTCCGGGAGTGGGATTTTTAAAGCTCTTGAGAAGATTGCAAAGTGTAGCCAAGGTGGAGATCCACTGGCTAACCGCATGCAGGGCTGGGACCGAGAAGGATATGGAACTTTAAATAAGGCTGCTTAGGGCTCTCAAACTGGCCAGGGAATTCTCGGCACCATGCAGGTCCATGGAAGCAAACATGTGAAGGGCAGATTGCAGAAGAGGAAAAAGAGATGTGGTGTGAGGAAGAGGCAGCCAGGGAGCGGGAAGGAGGTGGGACAGCTGGAGTCCCCCCTTTATCCCTCTCCATTAACCACTCACCTTGCAGCCTGACCCTTTCCTTAACCCATCTCGGGTTCGGTCATCTCAAGCCTGCTGTAGCTCAAGGGACCAGGCTACCCCAGGCTGACCACAGAGACCACGTGAGAAAGAGCAATGCAAAAGTGTGGGGGTCATGAGAAGACTCTAGGCATGGGTACCATCCACGACACATAGAAGCAGGGCTCCGGCACTTACACCCACGCCAGGGATGGATGGTCTGCGCTTTAGGAGGGCTACTTCCTCCACACAGCCCCACACAGGTACCTTGCCCGGTGCGCACTCCGTCCCATCCAGTGGGGGCCCCTTCTTGGTCTTGCAGAAGTATGGGTTGTCGGGATGGCTGCACCACAGCTGCTTGCAGGGCTCGAAGGTCCTGAACTGTGAGGCAGGGGGATGAGGTAGGTAGTGACAGAGAGAAAAGAAGGCATGGTGGATGCTGAGACCCAAGACGCTACAAGGTAGCCAGAACCTCGTATACTATAAAACTCCACTCAACCCTAAATGCCAATGGCTCCTGGGCCTCCTCTGTGCCCCCCTGCAGTCTGAAAAGGGGTCCTTCATAGTGCACATGCTTTGTCCTCTCGCCAACCTTCACAGAAGCCACATGGAGACTCCACAGAGGTCTGGGCCCACGATGCCCCTGATCCTTGTGGAGTGTGGCAGATCTTGAGGGGACCCACATGAAGTTGAAACTTTCCCATCTCTGTCTAATATGGACACCCAGTGAGGTCAGAGGTCAGTCATCTTGTGCTCTACACTGGAAGGATACCCCCCAATTTCATCACTACTTTCTTAGCAGCTCCCCTAAGGCAGACAGGCATCCCACAAAGACGGCACTTGGGCACTGGAGTCCACACCCTGCTCTTCAGCCCCAAGGCAGTATTGTGTCAAGCTACATGTCCCAGCATGGACCAGAGAGTGGGGAAAATAACCCGGCAAGGGTTCCAGGCTACACAGAGCAGCCTATCCTGCAGAATGGAGGGGAGGGAGGCTTCATTCTCTGGGTGTAGATACAAAGTACTAGGGTCACAGAGGCCTATTCTGTAGATGTCCCTATCCTGAAATGTCCTCTTTTGTGAGTCTCTTCAGGGTAGGTCAAGCTGACCTCCAGCCTTAAGGCTAGCCCTGTCCTGAAGAGCAGGAGCAGGGTTATATTCTTTGGTAAGATGCAGACATGGGTATGCCCCCATGGGGAGGTGGCTTGCAGATACAGGGCTAAGGAGATAGACCACCATGCGCCACCACAGAGTCCAGAGGTGGGGACTCTTCTTGTCCCAGCCCCTGGCCTGACATCTGGGCTACCTCACAGGTAAACTCAAGGGACCAGACCAGCCAGGGCATCAATGGCTGCTTGCCCTTCTTGCCTCTGTGCCCAGGCTTCTCTATCTATAGGGCTTGAAGGTAGGACTGGATAGAGTCTACACCCTGTCCCCCACCTCGTCCCATTGTGCTGGAACCAAGTCTGCAAGCCCATCCATAGGTCCACTGCTGGCAGGGTTGATGGTATCCAAGCAATGGCCTGGGTCATACTAGCCTGGCACCCAGCCTACTCACAGCCAAACAGGTGTGGTACCCAGTGCCGAAGTTGAAACGGCACTGTTCATCCATGGAGTAGTCGATCCCAGGCAATTCAGGGGGCTGGGGCCAGGATCGCTCAAAGGGGTCATCAAGGAGGCAGTCGTAGGAACTGCAGGGGGACAGGGGAAGTGAGCCAGCCTGAGGGCTAGAAATCCCAAGCCTTCCCTTCCCAGGTTGGGGCTTTTAAGTATCAAGGAAGGTCTACAGGAACCTGTGCCCACTGTCCTGGGCCCCCGCTGTCTCTTTCAGGGAGGATGGGATGTCACAGCCTCCCTCTTCCTATATGACTGTCTAGCAGGAGGGTTCCAAGGGCATGGACACCAAAGGTCATCCCTTGTCCCGTCCTTCAGGGTAGGGCCAGGGTTATGTTCCCTGGTGACTATGGCCTCATAGACACATCTGAGAGTTGGCTTGTGGTGTTGGCTTGCACACATAAAAGGATGCACTGTGGGTAAGATTGGGAGTGGACTTGTGGACCCTTTGAGGGCACACTGCCTGAGTCGAAGTGTACCTACCATACAGAAGGTTATGGTGGGTGGGCAATGCCAGCCAGCTGCTATGGAAGATCAGTGACTAGTGTCTCTGTCTGCTTGGTACACTTGTCCTACATCTCCTCATGCCCTGTCTCTGGGGCCCTCAGGAACTGAACCGCCCTAGCTCCATCTGCAGCATGGCATCATCTGCACACTTAATGAACACAGATTCCAAGGCCCCACCCACAGAGAACTCTAGTCAGCACCCGGGTAGGGTAGGCAACCCTGGTTTTTACTAGGACTTCCCACGCTTTCGGTCCCTTGGTCGCACTGCGGTGGGAGGCTCACTAACCCACCTGTGGTGCTAACGTGGGGGGACGGGGGTTAGAAGGGGGCACAGAAAGACCAGGCCAGGTGGGTGGGGCGAGGACCTGACAGAGTTCGGGCTGTGTAACCTGGGCTTGCCCACCCATCCCTACCCTGGGGTGGCGGTAACCTACGGGAGGTAGCGGCTGAGCTCCAGCTTGCTGCAGCGGGACCAATGGAAACGGTGGAAGGCAGCCTGCACCAGGGGTGCCATGACACTACCCAGGCTGGTCTCATCATCACAGCCGTTCCCCTGGCCATCGTGCTCCATGCCAAGCCTAGAGGGCAAGCGAAAGTCACCATGTGGGTCCTGACCCTGTGCATGCAGGCAGATGGCCCCCAAACAGCAGACACTGCCTGGACCAGGAATTCAGACAGGGCCTACTAGCCTCTGCTTCCTGACCACGCCTCTCTGCTCCTCTCCTCCCTGCTGGAGACCCACCCCTCCCTCAGACCCTGTGCACAGCCTCCCAGCTCTTGAGGATGGCCCAGCTGGGACACCGGTGTCCACTCACCTTCTTTGTCCCCCTCTTCCCAACATTCTGAGGCTTATCCAGGCCCCTGGACATACCCAACCCACAGACAGGACTGGGAAGGGTGTGCATTCTGTTCCTCCTGCACCATTACACCCCCTTATGTGGCTGGCACCAAGCTGGCAGGCCCATCCCCAGGCCCATTGCCTGATTGGTAGAAGGTCCCTGTGGGGGCTCCTGTTGTACAATATTAGCTCCAGCTGCCACAACCATGACTTGACCTCCAAAGCAAGGGCTCTGCTATCAACAGCTCTTACATCACCCACTGAAAGGCTTCGTCATGCAAGGACCAGCCTCATTAAGTTCTATCTAATCAGCCTCACTCATGGAATCGCTCAGTGTGTGGACTTCTTAAAACTCTCTTCGATGGATGGACAGGTGGGGGTGGCACATGCCTTTAATCTACCACTTGAAAGGTAGAGGCAGGCAGATCTCTATGAGTTCAAGGCCAGTCCGATCTACATAGTGAATGCCAGGCTAGCCAGACTACATAATGAGACCCTGTCTGAAACAAAGAAAAAAAAACTGACCACCCCTCCCTCTGTGTAGGGTTCTGCACATAGTAGGCAGCCATGAAAGTTTAAACTTAAAACTTTACCCTTTAAACTGATATTTAAGACCAAAACCCAATACTCCTAATTTCTTATATACTGTCAGTGACTTCATTGGCCCTTGGCCACTTACAGGACATGGCATAGACCTGTAAGCTTGACCTTGACAAGGAGGGGCTTCTACTTAGGAAAGAGTGGGCATCTCCTGCCCTTTACAGCAAATCAAAACCCCAGCACATGGTAGGTGCTCAAGAAATAGTGAATGAGGCCAGGTGAGGTGGCACCCAACTACAATCCCAGAATGTGGGTAATCTGAAGCAGGAGAGTCCAGAGTTCAAGGACACCCTCAGCTAGCTTGAGACTAGTTTGGGCTATATGAGACCTTATCTCGAAAAACAAACATACAAACAAAAAAGAATAAACCAAATACTGGCAAGGGAGGTGAGCGAATGTGTTCTAAACAGCATCCGAGTCCACAGGACTGGCTGCCAGCCCCCAGCTGGCTTACTGCCTGGGCTCGAAGTGTGCCTGTTTATGGTGGGCTTGGGCCAATCCCTCAGAGGGCACACGCCAGGGTGAGCTGGAACTGGTCTCTAAAGGCTGCTGGGGTAAAGACAGAGTGGAGAAACAGCAAGGACAGAGGCCACCCGGACAGCAGGTCCACCTGTGACAGGCATTCTGCCTCCAGCCTGACAAAAGCCAGGGCACATGTGGTCCCCACAGCCACAGGCATTACCTCCTGCCACGGGCAGCTGGCAGATATCATGTGTCAGTGACGGAACCTGACGTTGGCTTTTTACCCTCAGGCCCCCTCTGAGCTCGATTCTCAGCCCATAGCCAGAGAGCCGCTCACTCACCCACCCTCCCAGACTACTTACACGTGACCGGTCTCATGCGCCACCACAAAAGCTGAAGAGAAGCCATCCTCGTGGTTGAGGGCACAGCTTCTTAGGGGGTGGCACATACCAGTGACAGGTGCATACCCTGCCAGGGAAGAGGAGAGAGGTCACAGGCAGGTGAGGTGGGCTGTGTGCTGACCCTGTGTGCCCAGCCTGAACAATGCAGAGACATCCCAACCTGGTGGGTACTGGAGGTTCCTGGAGAAGAAAGGTTCTCAAGAACCTCTTCCCAGAGAACAAACATGGGCCTGTTGCCACCATGCCCCAGTGTTAGGACTTGCTCTTGGCCTATAGCTTTCCACGGTCCAGCAGCAACTCCTCTGAATAAGTAGAACTTCCTGGTGAGACCCAAGCCTGCACACACTCTAATTCTGTGAGTCACTCCACAAACAGGCTCAGAACACTCTATGTGGAGGTCAGGGATGGCCCTGTGCTGAGTACTGTGAGGAGCCAGGTACAGTGGCTCCTGCCTAAAGGCCAGCTATTCTTGAGACTAAGGCAGGAAGGCCACATGAGTCCAGGAGTTTGAAACCAGCCTGGACAAGACAGAGGGACACATGTTAACAACAGCAACAAAGGAAGGGAGGAAGAGGAGAAGGAGGAAGAGGAAGAAGGAGGAGGAGGAGGAGGAGGAAGAGGAAGGAGGAGGAGGAGGAGGAGGAAGAAGGAGGAGGAGGAGGAGGAGGAAGAGGAAGGAGGAGGAGGAGGAGGAGGAGGAAGAAGGAGGAGGAGGAGGAGGAGAGGGAGAAGGAGAAGGAGAAAAGAAGAGAAGAAGAAGAAAAAAGAAAGGAAGGAAGGAAGGAAAGAGAGAAAGGAAGAAAGGAAGGAAGGAAGGAAGGAAGGAAGGAAGGAAGGAAGGAAGGAAGGAAGGAAGGAAGGAAGGAAGGAAGGAAGAAAGGATTTTTCTGCAGATACCATGAGGAAAACAGAGACCAGCCCCTACTCCCAACACACCCATCATTAAGGAGGGTCTGACTCAGCAGGGAGATGGGAATTGAGTACAGGTGTGCCCGAGGCCACCGTTCAAGGATCGGAGAGTTCTAGGTGAAGGAAAGTAATGGCCCCTCCCCTGGAAGGTTTCCTGGGTCCAGGGAAAGAGGCCAAGGGAGTGACTTCTGAGGGCCACCAAGCTGGAGAACAGGCAAGATAACTCTCCCGAGTTTAGGGAGACGTGGGCAAAGGCGTAGATGGGCCACATGGGAACAGAGCAGACAGCAACACTGTTAGTAGGCACCACTGTGTGCAAGGGCCTGTGAGCCAAGGGTCTGCCTTCAGGAACGCCTCTAGGGCTGAGGGCTGGGGCTCAGTGGTTAAGCCTCAGCTGAGCTTGCAAGGGACCATGCAGTCCATCCCAGGTGGTAAATAAACAACCAAAACAGACCCCCAACTGCAGCAGGAGTGGAGGCTGGCACAATCTGGAGATGGAGGTGTGGATGGGAAGGGCTCCTCGCCCCGGCCTGCCATGACTAGAGCGCTCTCCTGACTTACAGTTGTCCTGATCCCTCCTTCCATTTTGACAGGGTTTGGGGGGCACGGGCAGTGGTGCAGTAAGAAAGGGCATGGACCTCTCAGCCTGCAGCTCTGGGGTTAGCACTACACGCCATGCCGTTCCACACACATGTGCCTGTGTCTTGTCCAGGCGTACCTATGTCTGGGTGTCTGAGTGTAAGTGTACATATGTGCACAGTGTCTCCGTGAATGTGCACGTGTCTGTGCATGTGGCTGTACACATATGCGTCTAGATACATTTGGAACCTGGTGGTCCAGGCAAAGCAGCCCTTGGGTAGGTAGGCTAGCTGACTCATTTCCACCATTAAACGAAAAAAGCACCCCAAAAGCACTCAACATGAAATCTAGAGAACCAATGTGGGCCTCAGTGTGTCTCTTGCTGGTAAGAGGCACAGGTAAGTCTCTTCACCACCCTGGGCCTCAGTTTCCCCATATTCAGAGAGGCATGTATATAGATGCTTACGGTTGTCCATACTGCCATGGACTTCTGTCCAGCCCTCTACCCAGTGAGCAGCAGGCAGATGGAGAATGTGAATATTACATTTTCCCCCATTTGCAACTTGGGCGAATCCAGAAGCTGAAGAGCTCCTGGTTCCATGAGGTTGGCATGGGGCACAGGTTTCCTTTCCTACAGTCAAACAGTCTCCCCAAGTGCTCACAGTGTGGTTAGGCAGAAGCATGGCTTAGGTCTCTAAGGTCTTCAACCAGCAGAGGCAGGCTCCAGGCAGGATTCAGACAGTGGCCACCGAAGTGTGGGTACGTTCCCTGGCCACAGTCCTTAAGTTCCAAGGCTTACCCCTCTATCCATCTATGTCCTGTCCCCGCTTCTTCCCTGGGGTGAGCCCCACAGACAGAACATTGCTCTCCAGGTCCAACCCTGACTCTCCACCTCGGCTCTGCAGGCTGCTCACATCTGGCCATTAAGTACAGTCCCTTGCATACCTGACGGACCGAAGTTCTGGCGGGTGAGGAAGATGACGTGGTCATGGTGTTCTGTGTGGCTCGGGTCCTGGCGCTGCTGGGAGTGTGCCCAGCGACACACCTGCTCCAGGCTGCGGGCTGGGTTCCCTCGCTCGATCAGGCTCAGGGACTGCAGGGACCAGGAGGGGGTCAACAGTGGAAAGGTTAAGGACCTCAGACATCACAGAAGCTCTCCTTAGAGGGAGAACACGGAGGCCCAGGATGGCAGCGCCTCTCCTAGAGATCACCAGCTGTCCACACCTGGATGCTGCTGGCACACAATCCTCCTTACACTGTTCCATACCCATGCCCACTAGAGACTCAATGCATACTATTTCCATTCTCTCAACCTGCCAGACGGTCAACTGTGCTGAACACTTCCCTATGCTGAATACTCACTCCCTCATCCAGTCTCTATGGTAGCCTGTGAGGAAAGTGTGACCGTCACCCCCATTAGAGAGCATAAGCACCTGGTTTAAGGCTGCAGAGGTCAGGGTCCCTACGTTCAACAGTGACGGGACTTGTCTCCATCACTGCCCCACCCCCAAACCTCACTTTCCCAACAGACTCCTCTAGGAGAGGGATTTGACAGGTGACTCTCCGGCTTGTCATCCACCCTGCCCCCCCTCCCCCGTCAGCGGGGGCTCACCTGTCGGTAGCCCACCATGATCAAGCGGACGAGAGCGATGTTCACGTGGGCCCCCAGTGACTCATCGTGGTAAATCTCATCCACCTACAAGAAGAACACAGGGTAAAAAGCTGGCAAATTTCCCTGAGGGCACCTGCTGCGTGCCACACGTCCGGCCAGGCTCTACCATACGGCACTGTTTCACCACACCCCCGTGACCTTACCCAGCAGGCCGTTTCCTTCCTACTTTACCAAATAAAGAAACTGAGGCTAGGAGGTGGTTTCTTGCCCAAGGACACGTGACTGGGATTCAAATCCCAGACCCTGAATCCCAACTCTGAGCTCTTTCCACAGAGCCCGAGTCTGTGGGGAAAAGGGATGGCTTCAAGCTTAGGGGCTGACCAAGATGCTCTTCTGTCCTTCTCTGACACAGAGAGGTCACCCGACTCAAGGGTCCCCCTTTGAAGATTCCTGTAGAAACATCTCTAAGCACTTTCCAGTTATCATTGGAATGGCATTACTCGGTGGTGCCTGCACAGTAGAGCTGCAGACACGGACCCTTCTCCAAGGTAAATCCCCAGAATAGGACAGTACTCAAGAGTCTTCGGATGGGCAGCGGCAGCGTCACCCAGGAGCATGTTAGAAACCGTCTTCACAGCCCGGCAGTGGCGCATGCCTTTAATCCCAGCACTCGGGAGGCAGAGCCAGGAGGATCTCTGTGAGTTCGAGGCCAGCCTGGGCTACCAAGTGAGTTCCAGGAAAGGCGCAAAGCTACACAGGAAACCCTGTCTCAAAAAACCGAAAAGAAAAGAAAAGAAAAGAAAAGAAAAGAAAAGAAAAGAAAAGAAAAGAAAGAAAGAAAGAAACCGTCTTCACACCCCAAGTCTCCCCAGTCAGATCTACATCTGAACAAGATGTTCTTAGACTCCATCGAGGGGAGGAGCTCAGCTCAGAACAATCCTTTTGTCTCACAGGTCCAGGGTCTGGGAGACTGAGGAGTCCCCCACAGGCTCCACCCAGAAACCCAGTCTCAGTCTGGAAGCCTGGACAGTGAGGGATTCAGCCTGTTTGTCTACTCCCAAGGATGGGATGTTCACCCTCTCCTGAGGATGTCCACCTCCTGAGTTAGCCCAGGACACTGGGTTAGACACTCCAGATTTCTTTGTTTTAAATAGCCTTTTTAGGGGCTAGGGATCTGAGTAAAAGCAGGATGAAACAGTGCACACACGCCACCTCCACCCCGCAGTGTTCCTATAGGGACATGGGAGATGGAGACAGAAGAATCCCACAAGCTTGCGGACCAGCCATGGTTCGCAGCAATGACTGAGGAAAAGGACCCTGACTCAAGCAAGATAGAAACCGATACCCCAAATTACTGTCTGATCTCCACACATACATTGTGCCATGCACACATCTACACACCTGCATACACATACATTCACACACACACCACACCACACCCTCACACACAAAGGCTTTTTTAAAGGCTTAAAAATCAAATATTTCACTGTAAACACACACACACACACACACACACACACACACACACACACACACACACACACGGACAATTAAATCACTTAGCAACCAACTATATAATGACCCCAGTTAACAAACTTCCTGTCACACGTGCATGCCTGTGTGCTAGTTTACACTGAACACACTGTTCGTGTTTTGCTGGCTTCGTGGAAAACGTTCTGTGTCTTTAATTGTGATTCCTGGTGTCTGCATCGACTACGCCATCGTTAATGGGACTAACATCCCAGATAGCAGGCGAGAGTCTTTGGAAGAAATGACTTCTTCAGCCAGTCTAGGTAGGCAATAATAAAGCAGCTACTTGGAGTCCTGGGTTCAAATCTCAGCTCTGTTTTGTTTTGTTTTTGTTGTTGGTTGTTGTTTTTAATTTTATGTAATGAGTGTTTTGCCTGCCCGGATGCCTGTGTACCAAGGGCATGCAGTTCCCACAGAGGCCAGAAGAGGGTGTCGGATCCCCTGGGACTGGAGTGACAGATGGTTGTGAGAGGCCTGAGCTGGGAGTCGAACCCTGGCCCTCTGGAAAGGCAGCTGTAACTGCTGAGCCATCCCTCCAGCCCCCTTAGCTGTTTTGTTTTAAACATTTAGCTGGCTTGGGGCACAGCACAACACTCCTTTTCCTACAGAATGGAAATAACAACGGCTGTTAGAGGGGCTGCCTCATATAAATGTCTGGAAACCACACGTGAGACACAAGCCCAGAGGCACCATCAGTGACACACAGTGGTGACTTCTGACTTCTGCCACATGGCTTCATGGGAGCTGGATGGTTTCATGCATGCCCTTGTCTCACCATTTCTGTCTCCTGGGCCATTTAGCAACCGTTCCTTCTCACGCATATGGGAAGTAACTAACCTACAGGCCGTGCGGGGGCGGCCGTCCACCAGAGAGGAGTCATCCTTTTAACACCACACGTGAGTCCTACAAGGAGGGAAACCCAGGAGGGAAACTGGAGACCTGGTGGGGCCAGCAAAGGATGAAACCAGGCTGTGGGCCCAGAGCCATGAATTAGAAGCTGCCTACACCACAGAGCCCAGCCCCTGCCCATCCTCCCAGTGCCCAGAGCTGGCAGTGGCCCCCTGTATATGAATGTGCAGACCTCAGATCAGCCAGCTTTGGGCTTCCGCCATCCGCTTTCCTGGCGCCTGTGTCTGAATCCAACTGAGTACTAAGATCAGAGTCTAGCACTAGATCCAACTGAGTACTGAGACCAAAGCCCAGAGCCTGCTGTGGACAAACAGACCCTGCCAATCCCCACCGCAAGACATGATGGAGAGGCCCAGCGCACAGGGCTTCCTCCCATCTTCCTGGGCAAAGGCTTCATAGAAAGTGTTTCACTGTGTAACGATGGCAGCTTCCTTAATCCACATGCCTGAGACTTTATCCTAGGAGGAGTGCGGTTCCCGTCAGTCGTACCCCGGCACCCGCAGAATGCCAACCTTATGATATTTTACTGATACCTGAAAGCCACCCGCAGGGAAGTGATCTTTTTTGTACGTATAAGCCTGCACGTATGTCTGTACAGCAAGTGCATACCTGTTACACACAGAGGGCAAAGAGAGCGTTGTATCCTCTGGGACTGAGATTACAGACAGCCGTGAGCTGCCGTGTGGGTGCTGGAAATCAAACCCAGGTCCTCTGGAAGAACAAGCAGCCAGTGCTCTCAGTCACTGAGCCACCTCCGCAGCCCCATGAGCAGTGACTCTTGACCTGACTTTTCAGCCCCTCCAGCACCAGGACACAGCCCTTTCTCCTACACAGGGCTGGGGCAGTACAGTTTGTGGACTCTCAGATGACCCAAGAGACACCGGAGAGGCGCACACCATTCAACCCTATCAGGGACACACACGCCACAGCTGTCCCAGGGAAAAAAGGGAGAGACAGCTGGGACATTTAAGCGGGGATGTATCCTGGGTTCTGGACATCTGGAGGGACTCCTGGGTTTATTGTCTTCGTCCATGTGTCCTCTAGTTATACGGGTTGTTGAAAATACGGTCTGCATCCTGCATGTGGCAGCCAGGCCTCTGTGTTGGACGGCTTTGCACCTGCAGGTCTAACCGACTGTTCACTGAAAATCGGAGGGAAAACTGTTTATATGAAACACATGCTTTTGTTCTGTTTTTCCCCTGCCATTGACTGCTCCTAACCAATACAGTCCAGCAGCTGTGTGCACAGCGCTTACACTGCATCCATTTTTTAGAGTTATCTAGAGGGCTGGAGAGATGACTCAGTGGCTAAGAGCACTGGAGGCTCAGCCGGAGAACCTGGGTTCAAGTCCCAGCATCCACACAAAGCAACTCACAACTATCTGTTAACTCCAGTTCCAGGGGATCTGACTCCCTCTTCTGGTGTCCATGAGTACTGCATGTATGCGGTACACAGACCCGCAGGCAAAACAAAACACCCCTGTACACACGACATAAAAGTAGCGCTTGCCTAGCAAGTGCAAGGTCCTGGGTTCGGTCCTCAGCTCCAGAAAAAAAAAAAAGTAAAACTTAAGCCTTGAGGCAGGGGGAGGAGGGGCTTGGAACTACCTCTACTAAATGTACCTCCCCATGGGAGGCCTTACCTCCTTGTAGGAGGGACTAGGGGGTGGGTTGAGAGGGGGAGACTGGAGGGGCAGGAGGAGGGAAGAGGGAGATCTTTGGTATGTAAAATGAATTAAAAGAAATTTGTTAATAAAAAAATAAATCTTCAATAAAAATTCAATCAAAGTCATCTTGAGATGCTGTGAATCACAGGGCTGAGGGCTTTGCAGCTCAGGGGTGGAATGCTTGCCTAGCACATGGAAGGCCCTGGTTCAAGCCTCTCCTGGTTTGCTTTCTACTGCCGTGATAATAATAATAATAATAAAATAGGCCGGGCGGTGGTGGCGCACGCCTTTAATCCCAGCACTCGGGAGGCAGAGCCAGGTGGATCTTTGTGAGTTCGAGGCCAGCCTGGGCTACCAAGTGAGTCCCAGGAAAGGCGCAAAGCTACACAGAGAAACCCTGTCTCGAAAAACCAAAAAAAAAAAAAAAATAAAATAAAATAAATAAAAAATAAATAAATAAAATAAAATAAAAAACAAGAGGAAAAGCAACTTGGAAGGAAAGGGTCTATTTCAGGTTACAAGCCCAATCACAGGCCATCATGAAAGGAAGTCCCGGCAGGAACTCAAGGCAGGAACTGAAGTAGAAGCCATGGAGGAACACTGCTTACTGGCTTGCTCCTCAAGATTTCCTCAGCCTGCTTTCTTATAGCACCCAGGACCACCTGCCCAGCGGTGGCCCCTCCCACAGTGGGCTGGGCCCTCCCGCATCAATAATTAATCAGGAAAATGTCTTACACATTCGCTTACGGTCAATCTGATGGAGGCGTTTTCTCAGTTGAGGCTCCCTTTCCCAAATAACTTCTGTAAAGTTGAGAAAAACTTAACCAGGACAAAAATCCAGCACTGGGAGAGGGAGGAGGGGAGAGGGGGTCAGGACAGGAGAGACAGAGGGAGAGAGGGTGGCAGTCAGGAGGTTGTATAGATTACAAAGGAGACTTGAGCATCTACAAATTTGGGGACTCAGGGCAGGGTCTTAGAA